AGAAATTTCTGCTTTTGAAAATGTTCAATTCAAACTCAACCACTGTTTTGTTTGCCTGAAAGAGCATTCATGAAGTTCAATTCCCTCATGACACTCGCCAGCCTGGGTGTGGGTTACCCAGTGTGTAATTATGTCAAACATAAACAGGATCATGTCAGATCCCCAACATCTGAAGATAAATAAGAAAAGATTATAAACAAGGCATTATGTACTTGGTTTCTGTCTTGGAATATGAATGAGGATAAATATTTTGATACTATGCAGTAACAATGACAACAAAGTATGAATCAATGCTTGTAATTCCAAGGAAAAACCAAAATGAATATTTGACACAGCAAAATAATCACTCAACAATCAAATTCTGTATGCATATCCACGATCATATGTTCTTTAAAAAATCACAACAAACTGTGTCCAACAGGTGACTTATCCATTTATGGCTGTCATGATACAAGCGTTATATGTTGTAAGCCTCAATACAGAAATACATAACAATAATGTGCAGCACTGAGGCTGCCCCTTATCTGCAACATTCTGATATGGTTCTCAAATTCTGTGTGCTACATGGCCGGAAGTATACACACAACACTTTATACATGCATCAACAAGTATAAAACAACACTTCCCATGTCAGTTGCAAGGGCCATTTGGTAAAAGGAAAAAAAAAGGGGGGGGGGGAGGTGGACAGACCCATTGTCTCTTAAGCATGTTGTAGAAGTATAAAGTTTTGGTGATATACAATGTTGGGCTGAAAGGCACTGATATCGCAGCCTAGCTGTAACTGCCTCTGCCAACTGCCCTTCTAAAGAGAAGAAAAAGAATAAACATACCATTTAAAGTGGCAGAAAGCCTAACACAAAAATACCATATAACAATCCAGTGATTGGATACTTGAAGTGACTGTAATTTTCAAACAAAAACACCATGTGACAATCCAAGTGACTGGCTATGTGATGTGGCTGAAATTTCAACAAAAATATACCTAATAACAATCAAAGTGATTAAATACTTCAAGTGGCTGAAAGTTTCAAACAAAAATACCATGTGACAATCCAAGTGACTGGCTACGTGATGTGGCTGAAAGTTTAACAAAAAATATACCATATAACAATCCAAGTGATTGAATACTTCAAGTGGCTGAAAGTTTTACACAAAAATACCATAAAACAATCCATCTGATTGGATACTTCAACTGGCTGAAAGTTTAACATAAAAATTACCATATGAAAATCCAAATGATTGGCTACCTGAAGTGGCTGAAAGTTTAACACACACAAAAAAAACCATTAAACAATCTGAGTGATTGGATACTCCAACTGGCTGAAAGTTTAACACAAAATTACCATTTTACAATCCAAGTTATTGGCTACCTGAAGTAGCTGAAAGTTTAACACAAAAATACCATAAAAACAATCCAAGTGATTAGCTAGCTACCCAGGTTCACCCAGACTAAAAATAGATACCTGGAAATGATTTAAGAGGGCACAAAGTATGATACTAAACAAATCATCCGTCAAGTGCCAACTGCTCCATAAAAAGAAAAAAATGGGATTAATCCCATATGACAAATGTGACTCATGTTGTTGAAACTGGTCCTTGAATTTTTCACTTTATATTCATTCAGTTGTATTGTTTTATTTTAATGCAAGCATGACTGCAGCCTCTTTTACTGACGAGACAAGACAATTAATCTAGGTCACATCACAAATAAAGATCAACTGCACTTGATTATGTTTTAGTTTCCTGGATTTAAAAAAAAAAATAATTACAACATTCTGATATTTACTCTATGACTTTTTCCTTCCTTTGGTATTACGTCCTTTCGTGAAAATTCTGTTTAAAAATGTTCTGGCTACTCGGCTCTGATGGAACTTACTTTTAATGACTTGAATTATGTCTACACTCTTTTCTAATACAACCACCACACAAACTAGGTCTGGCATTCATTACTGATTAGCAGTACCCAGCAACAAATTCAATGTAAAGTTTCACGTAAATTCTATTTAAAAATGTTCTGCTCTGCTGGAACTTGGTATGAATGACTTCAACTATGTCTACAATGTTTGCTACTACTTAACTGTCATATTTAAAGTAGACAAAACTTGATTTCTCGGTACAATTCCAATTGTTGGTCCCATATTTTATAAACCCAAGGGCACACAATAGGTGATGTGATCAACATCACGCTGGCCACCTTTACTTCCAAAACTTTTACCTGGTACCCATTTTGTCTGGTCGACCTGGGAGCCAAATCCCTCCCCTTTAAATAAAAATATGATGCAGTATGTGGATGCAAACCCAAGATCTTTGGGTCAGCAGAGAAGTGTCTAGCTGCTAGGCCACCATGGCTCCCACAGTAAGTATTACACAGCATAAAACAGGAAAATATATTTTCCCAGGTCAAAAACATCATCAATTCCCAATATAAATGTTCTAGGGGCTGATCTGACTACAACAAAGTATGAATTATATACAAGATATATTGCTAAAAATTGAACAAGTTCCCAATATCATACAATTAACAACGTTAAAATTCCAAAGGCATTGACAACCGTAAGGGGTTGGCTCGCCATGGCTATGAACTCAGGTTATGCTTTTAAAAGAATCATTAATCTTCAATGAACCAACTGAATGACATTTGTGGTGAGATTATATTCACTAACATATAACAGACTGATCCACGGAGAAGAAGAAAAAATACACACAAGGATAATACCAAAGATACATTAAACAAACTAAAATTTATTACATTAACAAGAAAGACAACTAGCTGTGTATTAAAAGACATATACAAACAGATAAGCATTTACAACCCAAGCAACAAAAGACATCACTATTTACAAGTTCTCCCTGCTTGTTTCACAACACACAGAAATGACCTGGAGAAAATATTTAAAGGGCAGTAACTACCTGGGACCTCTGAAGCAATGCTTGCCACTCTGCGCAGCATGCCCACCTCCACCTTTCTCAAAATGCTCTGTGAGTCAGTTACAATTGCGAAACATGTGTACAGTTGATTCTCAAGCCAGCAAAAGGTAGCAGTGACTGCCTCCACCTCCATTCTCAAACTAGAAGTTGTGATATCATATGCCAGGCTTTGGTATGCCAAGTGACGTCCATTCACTTTTGCTATGAACCCCAATGTCTTTGTATTATCTCCTTACATCCTTCTTAGGACGTAATTTTTTTGTTATTTCAAGCCCCACTCTGGCTTTTGCCAGGGGCCGCAATATAGGCAGGCCATCAACATGGCCAATTGTCTGAATGCGGTTTCTCGGACCTCTCCACAGCGATCCTCATCCGCATGGTGGCACTTTGTGTCATCGGGTGTTTATCGCTTGTGTCATGTCCTGGTGGGGTAGAAATTCAGTCAGTCAGTCTGCCTCTCAACACAGAGCCATGGTTTGAATTTTCATAAATCATTTATAAAACTTTGGATTCTGCAGCATCAGCTGGCCAGTACCTGCACACATGTCCCAAAATGATTAGAATCCTACAGGTCTGGTTCTTGCTCTGACACTCTGACCCACCCCTCCCCTGGCCAAAATGTATCAAGCCTGCACACGTGCACATGTTTAATTGTGTTTTCAGCCTGCGCTATCCAGGACCTTCCTCTTTTCAGTCTGTGACTCTTAGCTCTATCCAGGGCTTTATGCAGGAGGTGCTTCTTGTTTGCAGCTACTCTGAGATATGATTTTGCTTACAGAACTCTAAGCCTATCTGCAGTAGTAAGCAGTGTAAGTATATATTGCATACACAGTACCAGAGTATCTCTTGTACATTCCAGAATTACCCGCAAGGCTTCATTCTGTGTGTTCAAGTGTCATCAGCTGCAGCTTTAACATGGTAAGCATTCCAAGTCCCTAATCTGCCACTGACAGGATCACATGCTGGAACATTGTGAGCATTATTTGTTCCATGTCCATTACTGCCATAATCTTGAGAACATAGAGTCCTTTTTGGCATTTCCAAGCAACTGCCTCCACACAAACCCTGAAGGACAGACTTCTAGCAAAAATGATACCCAGGTACCTCAGTTTGCTTTCTCTTTTGATATTTATGTCATTAATTGTGAGGCTTGGAACATTAGCACTTTCAATTCTATTGTCCAGAGAGCACCACAAAACAGCCATTTTTTCTGAATTTATTTCTGTACACCAGTCAGGTCTTTGTCTACAGTTGCCTGTAGATTTTGAGCTGTCTGTTGCCTATTATTTTTGAAGTTTATTCCAATGTGATGCAGTAGACCATAATTTTTCCAAGAACACATACAATAGAATAGAGTAATCAATTAAGAAGAGAAGATCATGGTAACATATAAATAAATACATGGAAAACTGAAGATGAGGTTAGAATAGATTTTTAAAAAAAAAAAGAAAAAAAAAAGAATTGCAATATTAACATTTAAAATATAATACTGACAATGAAGAACCACAACGACAGGGTACTACCGAAATAGTAGCCCTGATTCAACAGCTCCTACTTCATTTAGTCTACGATCAGCAGTTTCAAATACAGCAGTTAGAAGGGAAGAAGAAAGCTAAACCCAACCTCATAGCAATATAAAGGCACATTTAACACCCCATGGCAGCCAAGCATTTACAATTACCATTTCAATAACATTGCACAGATATGTAGAAATTAAAATTCTATATCTCTAAAGGCAGAAATATAGAATATTTACCAAACATTAAAGAAGAAAGTTGTACAACATAACAACAAGAAAGAAAATCTATTAAAATAAAACAAATCAACCCAATTTTCTTTTACTTCTACAGTTTCTTAAATAACTGTTTTTCATTAATAAAATCTTGTTTGTATTTCAAGCACTTGTTTTTCAGACCTTGAAGTACATGTGAACTCTGCAAACATTCAGACATCAAAAGTCCTGTGCTCATCTTTGACATAAGTATACAACTAGTCACAAGTAGAGAGGGTGTATGTGTAATAAATGGCAATGAACAGCTGTAACATGAGTAACTGTAGGAGTTTAATATGCACTAGCTCTCATCTGGCAGGATGGTGATGCACAACCTCTTTTCTGGCCAGCTGTAAGTCTTTGGACACAGTATCTGTAGTTGGAGACAGAAAATGACACTGATTAAACTGTATATAAAAGATTTCTTGTATCAAAAGCATGGGGAAATTATTATCATCAAGGAAAGAAAAGTGGGTGACAGGGTGATTACTTCTCTTCTTTGCATTTACCGGCTGTAAACTTCTGGCCAGTCATCCACTTCTGGACTTTAGTCTTATTCCAGAATTTAAGTTGTGTATGCAGGCCAGTTTTACAGTGCACTCCAACTTCGAAGGAAACCCCGAATCAGTCAACTCTTACAATATTCTTGTTAGAGAGGCAGAGGGTCTATCCACCCCCCCCCCCCTTTCTACAATGGAACCCTGGAATGCACATGGGGGAGGGTGATTACTACATAAGTTTCCTAAATCAGAAAGCAAAGGTCCTCAGGTTTGGATATTATGTTTTGTTGCTATCTGAATCTTGCTGTTCAAATTGTTTTAAAAAGCAGTAATGACTTTGTTTCTATCTCAGTAAGTAAAGTGGCACACTCCTTTCTATCACAGGTATAAGGGCTCTGCTAGTGTGTGCCAGACTTCAGTACTGAATGTTTACGATCATCATAAAGGTTTGCTGGGACCCTGTTTTCAAGTGTGTAGCAGACTTCCCCACAGTGGAGATGATGAAGGAGGTGAGGAGGATAATCTCATCCCATGGGCATTTGTCATTTTTAGACCAATTGAAAAAAAATATTGTTTTGCTCCGGCTTGGAAGGCCTATTTTCAGGAAAACAGCTGAGACAGCTTTTCAAGACAGCCATCACCCACAATGGCCAAACTTTCACTAACAACACAGTAGGTTATGGTGCTACTATAGCTTCCTCTGTGGGTGCCAGTGACACATAAATGCTTAGTCTTGGTAAGGCAAAGATTATATAATTTTTTCCTTGCATCTGAATATCAGCACCAAGTTGAAACAGAGTTCTGACATTTGCCTCACAATCAGCAGTGGTTACTGCTTCCACATTGTCCTTCATTTGCATCTTGTTTGAGCATATTTGCATTGAATTAGAACATCTAACTTGCAAGTAACAATTCAGACAAGTGACTTCTCACCCTCAACAGTTAAGACCTTGCACAACTTATTGCCTTGCATATTTCATTGTATCTCGTCAGGTGCATTACTAATGAGTTAAATCAACATATGCACAATATTCCAGGCAATAAACTGACAATGTACTGTTTGTGCCCGCATTATTTAAATTTACAACAGGAAAACATTGTTTGGAATTAAAAACCTTTGGTGTACAAAATAATGGTAAATAAACACTACCGTTATGGTTTTTTCCCCATGGACACATGAATGCAGGATCATCACTATCATTGTTTTTTATTCTTAACGCAGAAGCACCATCAAATTCTTACAGAGCATGATCTTTGATGACTCATTATAATATGATCAACAGCAGTCAAAGTTAATATTGTATTACTTCATTTACAGTAGTCAAAGTTAATAGTGTATTACATCATTTTTTGTTACTTCTATTTGCCTACTAAACTGTGTACAGCAAAACAGGATTATGCACTGCAGGTGAGTACCTATCCAAGAAATACAAACATAATGCCTTCATATCCTGGATCACAGAAGGTGTATCAGAAAACTAAAAGTTAAGTAAACTATCACCTTACCATAGATAGCTAATATGATCCTAACTTAATCAGCAAACAAGGCTGATGTGCTTAGCATACCACAGTACGTAATTTTCTTCTTACAGTCCATGCTGTGTGGGGCTGGTAGTTGTGACTTATTCAAAACCCTCTGTCTTGTGTACTTTCAATCAATTCAGACATAGACAATCTTCCATGCCATCATGTCAAACTGACCATAATCTTCTTTCTCCGACTTCCTCTGCCTCTTTCCCCTCCCACTTCCCAACCATCATGATGTACTTCAGTTTTCTCCTTCTCATGTCAAGACAAATGAATATAGATTGTCTCCTTCTGGCAATCAGTTCTCTTTGTAAGTCAGTTTCTTTAAAGATTTCTTTATTACTTTTTTTTTAACAATCTGTCCAGGGTGTTATCATTTGTCTGTAAAACCACATCTCCACCACTTCCACATAACTTTTTCAACAACTGATCTGCAGTCCATGATTCACTTATGTGTATCTCGATAAGATTTTTACAGCTCGTATAAATTCTATATGTGAAACACAGAAATAAACCACTGTGGAAGCCTTAGGGCTTTTGAATAAGAATTATAAACAACCTATAATGAACTGATTTGAAACAGCACCATAGGTTACAGAAATTTATATTAACCAAGTCTAGGTCAAATGACTCATAAACAAACATATTAGACCACAATGCTATGTCTAGTACACAATAAACATGTTCTGTCTCCACTTTTTTCTTCTGTATCTGTAAATGCCAATCAGTAGATTACAATATGTTTATAATGCTATTAGCATCATGCTGATAGCTATTTAAAGTTGAGAGGAAATTTAATTGCCTCGTGTTTTATCCCAAAGTCGGCTCTGTGGCTAAGTCGATGCGAACGCTTTATAATGCCGGGGTGCCGGGTTCGATCCCAGCTGCGGGCCATGCGCCTTGCATTGGTTTTGACAGTGGTATCAGGGGGCCGACCGTCCAAAAAGCAATGGCAAACTACTGGATGTAAATTTGCCTAGAGAAACCACACAACAGCCAGGGGTTGCTGGGGTTGGTTCTGCAACGTCCTGTAAAGGATACGCAACTAACCTTTATCCAAAATGGCTAAGTCTCTCTCCATGAAGGATCTACACACTTGGTGAATCAATGAACTTTTTAAAGTCCATACCATGTGGCGCTGGTATGTCTACCCACAACCTTTTATCTTGTGTACTTTTAATCAACTCTGAAACAGATGATCCTCCATGCCATGATGTCAAACTGTCCAGTATCTTTTCTATCAGTCTCCCTCTGCCTCAACCCCCCTTCCAACTTTCCTACTGTCGCAATGTGCTCCAATTTTCTCCTTCTCATCACATGACCAGAGAATGTAGATTGTCTCTTTCTGATGTGGGCAATCAGTTCTCTTTGTGAGTCAGTTTCTTTCTAGATATCATCATTACTCTTTTAATCTGTCCAGGGTATTCTCATCATTAGTTTATAAAATCACATCTCTGCAGCTTCCAAAAAATTTTTCAGGAATCTATGAACTAATGAACTAATAACTACATATTTCCAGGGATCGAGAAGAAAAAAGCTAAATGTGTAATTACCTCTTCAGGGCAGGAGAGTTCTTCTAGATCATCAATCATGTCATCGATGGCTTCATTTTGAACAAGGACCTAAAAATAAAAAAGAATGTTTAAACATGAATCTGAATGAAACTGTTTACTTTCAGAATAAGTACAGAGCTTCATTTTTCTCCAAACAGAAAATATAATTACTTATTATAAGCGTTAAAATGATTCTGCTGTATGGTTAAAGTATGCTACAAACCTTTGGGGGGGGGGGGGGGGGGTATAATGACCCTTTCACAGGGGTCACCAGAGACCACCACAAAACACATTCATTGAAGTTATGAAGTAGCAACAAAAATAACTATATGGCTGGGGGTCGCCACAACATGAGGAGCTGTATTAAAGGGTCGTGGCATTAGGAAGGTTGAGAGCCACTGCTCTAGTGGAAGGTCCTGGTTGTTTGACCATTTGGACTTTGGCTATGTACCAGGGCCTGAGTTTTGCATGTACATCCATTTACTTGCTTATTTGTGTGCAGTTTTGGTTATTCCTTGCTGCTCTGGCAGATGCACTCCTACTTCAAAGGAAGCACCCAATTAGTCTACTCCTATGACATGCTTGTTAGAGAGGTAGTGGGTCTATTCTGATTTTCCACCAAAATGGGGCCCCGGAAACCACACGGGGATAATGGCCATCCAAGAGTATGCTCCTAAATAAATACAACAACTTTGTCTTTCCTAATCTTTTTTATAAACCAATGTAATTTTAAATAAAGGTTTACAAATACCAAATGGCCATCCAAGAAGGTGCTACTAAATTAGTATTATAAAACTCTTAGTCTGGTAAAGTTTAGAAAAACATCTCTGCTAGAATTATGGAGTTCAATGTCTGAATGACAATGTTACCTGTAGCCATGTGCCATGTGCTGCAAATGGATGTTCTTCATCTGTGATAGAACCAACAACAGATGATGAGACTAGAGTAATTGCTATATCGTTCATAATGCCTTTGAATGTGAAGTGCCGGCCATGTTTTAAACGTCCCCTAAAACAAAAGAAACAAGCAAAATGGAATTCAACGACAAAAGCTAAAGTGATATTATGACAACAACTTGAGACTCATATATGAAATAACTATAGAAAGATTGTAAAATACTGTTTTCATCCTTATCCACTTTCAGTCAATCAATCAGGTGCCATCTGCACAATGAAGGTTTCATCCTTATCCACTTTCAGTCAATCAATCAGGTGCCATCTGCACAATGACAGTTTCATCCTTATCCACTTTCAGTCAATTAACCAGGTGCCATCTGCACAATGACGGTTGACTGCAATAGATATCCAACTGTTTTTTTTCCTGGATGTACACTCTCTGAGACTGCTGTTTACCCATCTATTAATGTGATTCCCCCCACTTGTATCAGTGTCCACCTGCTGTCAACTTTTGCCTCCAGTCTGATTTTTATTCGCTCGCTCTAAACACAACAGCCCGCTATGCTCTATCCATTACAAAAAGCTTAATTTGCTCAGAAGACAACACACCTTCAGGTGTATTAGGCATTTAGGGTTAGACATATATTTTACACACTAATCAACATAACGTCTGCTGCCTTTACTTCCCAAGACTTAATCTAGTACCCATTTAAGGCTGGGTCGATGTGGCTACCAAGGTCTATTATTGTATTAGATTCAAGATCAGTCAGGTCCTGAACCAATGACTTTCAGATCCGCAGGTGAGTGTCTGGCCACTACATCAAGGTGGCTCCCACAACATGGATGCCTCTGCATGAAATGCTTACATTTAAAACCATGATAATTCTCATATTTTTACCCCTACATCCCAAATAATTCATTCACATGGGAGGGGGGTAGGGGGGGCCTTTCAAATGAAAACCTAAAAAGTGTGGGAGAAATTACAATAACTACGCCACTTTCTTGTAACCTGTCATTACTGTTAAGTATGTATTTGTTTATTTTGTTCTAAAAATATATTCATAAATTACTCATAAAAATATTAAAAACATATCAAACTCAAAACTAGGCAGACATATTTAAGTAACTGTAAATTGTGAATTCAAATTGAAGAGAATATGATTCAGAACCAGCAGACGAAACCCAAAAGACCATTTGGCCAGCACTAAGCAACTCACTATATATCTATTACTTACACAATACATTTCCTGTTTATTTCCTATTCTTCTGTTGGTTTAACCTGCCACATCCCAGTTGTTACTTCAACTTATTTTGTCACATAATTGTACTATTTCTTCTCCTCCAGACCAAGAATGTCTTCCCATAGTTGTACTATTTCATCTCCTTCAGACCTAAAATGTTATCCCATAGTTGCACTATTTAATCTCCTTCAGACTAAAAATGTTATTCCATAGATGTACTATCTCATCTCCTTCAGACCAATAATGTTGCCCATAGTTGCACTATTTAATCTCCTTCAGACTAAAAATTTTATTCCATAGATGTACTATCTCATCTCCTTCAGACCAAGAATGTTGTCCCACAACTGTACTATTTCAACTCCTTCAAACTAAAAATATTGTCCAACAGCTGTACTATTTCATCACCTTCAGACTAAGAATGTTGTCTCATAGTTGTAATATTTCAACTACATATAACCTAACAAAAGGGAACATAAAATTTGATATACCTTAATGCGAGTGGAAGTAAGGAGCCAGCTTCAAGATTAAACTTGAGATGTACAGACTCTAGTGTGCGTGTTCTTATCAGTTCTGTAGGACCATCTGAACTCACTGTACTATCAAAAGATTCTTTTCTGGATTGCGTTTGAGATCTGAGAGACATATAATATTGTAATGCACAGTTAAATTTGTTACATTGTATTTAACAACAACAAAAACATCCTTGTGTGGGTTCCAGGGCCCCACTAGATGGGGGGGTTATAGACCCGCTGCCCCTTATGAATGTCATAAAAGTTGACTGATTAGGTATTTTCCTTCGAGGTAGGAGTGTGTCTGTCTAAGACACAAAGAACCATCAGTCTGCATTTTAAAAAACCAGATCTGTAAAATGGATGTACATGCAAAACAAGACTAAGTCCAGAATTGGATGAACAACCAGAACTTTTTGTCAGAGTTTACAGCTGGTGAACATGAAAAAGAAGAAGAAGAAGAAGACAAAAACTTTCCTCTTAACTATATACAACAAAATACTATGATAGCAAAGTGGTTAACATATTTACCAGCAAAGACATAGTGTTCAAGCTCAACCCCCAGAAGTGGCAGTTAATTTTTTTTAAAGCAGTATGCCTCTAGTGTAGACTCAGTCTTATTAAAACGGGCAGCAGAAATTTCATGAATTTGAGAATGAAAATCAACACATCAGGGCTAATCTTCTTCTTCTTCTTTGTTCACCTGCTGTGAATTCCAGCGGAAAGTCAGGCTAATCGTCCGCTTGAACTTTTGGCTTTTACGTGGACCTGAATTTTGCGTGTACAGCCATTTTACTGGCTTTTGCCGTTCCCTGCCTCGCGGGCAGATGTACTCCGACTTCGAGGGAATCAGGGCTAATCAACTGGTGGCTCGCAGGCCAAATCTAGTCTGCAGAGGCCCAGCAAGTGGTCCGCGGATCATTTCCAATTGTATTATATTTATCTGCTTTCTACGCTGGGGCTGGGAGCTTTGACCCGTTGACAATCCCCATTTTCAACATTTTGGCCCCCGAGTACACTTAGGCGAATAACCCTGGCATAAATATTACATGCAGGTATGGGAAGGGATTCAGTCCCAACAGTTCAAATGAGAGAAAATGATGCATCATTCAGGAGTAGCAAAGGTTAATAAGTTGTAATAATATATAAGGTTTTAACACTTACTCATCCTTAACATTGAGGTGGGTGTTACTCAAGCCTTTCTTTAATGTAGCTTTTATCTGCTCAGATTCTGAAATATTAGGAAAATGACATGTCTGGAACTGTTTTCTAGCAATCAGCAAGTTTGAAATCCACAATATAAATTAACTTGGTGGAAATGCCATGTGTACAATTAAATTAGATACTACTGCACTGCACAATGCTAAAGCATTTTAATCTTTCATTTTCATACTTTCTACATATCCTCCTTTCATATGTCTGGGTAACATAATTGTGTTGTGATGCGATATTTGCACCCTTCATCTGACACATCCGGCTTCATCGAGCAATTGTTGACAAAGTTAACTTCCTGGACAGGGACACGTCTTACATATAATACGAAATGTCATCAAGCTATAGATTTTTTTAAATAATTCAATTTACTATAAATTTTTTTAAAGCTTAATTAAAATTCAATGAAGCTGATGTGTCAGAGAATGACAATAGTTGGAACTGGAACAATATTCTACGTTAGTCTCTAAAGTAACCCACATTAACATTTAAACAGACTATTTTACCATAATCTGTAATAGTTCTTCTGCCAGTTCCAGTACTTCCTCTTCTTTTTTGTAATCTCTTATCATCTTCTTCTCTGTCCTTCTGATTTTCTTTGTCTTCGTCACTGTCAGAGCTTCTGCCATCACTGTCACTCGGCTCATCCCAAGAACACCAAGCACTTACTCCACTGAGATTAGAACCTTCTTGTTCTATTCCCTGTTCAACTCTCTCCTGTCAAGAACAACAACAAAAGCAGGTAAAACATTATGAAATCCACACACATATTATGAGCCAGTGATTAATGCGCTTGCTTTCTAAAACAACAGTCTGAATTTAATCACAAGCTGTAGCAGGATTTTTTTTTAAACCAAATCAGCAATTGTCCCCAGCTGTAACATAATTAATGCTTTAACTCCAGTTATCAGGATTCAATCTTCAGCACATTTACCAAAACAGCATTATGGAATTAAACATTAGAGGTGGCAGGATTAATTTTTTTTTTTTTTTTACCAAAACAGTACTTTGGGTTAAACCCTGGTTTTATTTATTGAAACTAGCAGTTTTTGATTCTATTCTTCTTCTCCTCATTTCCCCTCTGTAAACTCTGTTGGAAAGTTGTGGTTGCTCACCCACTTCTGGACTTTGGTCTTGTCCTAGAACTTGAGTTTGGCGTGCACATCCATATCACAGATCGGGCTTACTTGTAAGCAGACTGCTGGTTCCTTGCCTCTAAGGCAGATGCACTCTGACTTCAAGGGAAACATCAATAATTATTTGCCTCTTTTTGCATGCTTATTAAGAGAGCAGTGGATCTATTCCCCTTCCCCCCCCCCCCACCCCTTTTCAATGGGCCCAAGAATACACAAGGAAAGCTTTGGATTCTATTCTCAGTTTTTTTTTTTTTAATTTAGAGCTAGAGCTGCAGTGACATATGGGTTAGGGCACCTACCCACAAAGACAAGTCATGGTTCAATAAAGGTTGGATTAATTTGGCTCCAGGTTCAACCCAGCCTCAGAAAAAACAAGTACAAGACTTATGTTCAGTTTCTGGAGAGGAAAGGAACCACCTGCCCCACCTTGTATGTCTCGGCCCAGATTATGTGCTGGTCTAATATTTAAAACCCTAATGACAGTATCTTTGATGGAACTACTTTTATCTTCACTGTACTGGGGTTGTTGTAGTCTCAGAGAACTTTCTAGATGTTGTCTTGGAAGAAAAAAGTGAAGAGGTAACTAAGTCTGGCTATCTACAGTACCCTTTCACTCACCTAGAATATATTGCACTTCACATCCTTCAGACACTTTTTGCTGTCAAATACCCTTTAAATTTTATGAGAGCACTTTACAATATGATCTTTGCAAGTTAATACTTAATAAGAACTGGTCTTTTCCCTGTGTGGGTTTTGGGGTCCTATTGTGGAGGAAAAACGAACAGACTCATTGCACTGAACAAACACGTAATAGTCGACTAATTAGAAGTGCTTCCTTCGAAGTTGGAGTGCATCTGCCTGAGAGGTAAGGAAGCAACAGTCTGCTTACAAATAAGCCAGTTTTGTAAAACAGATATACATGTAAAACTCAAGTTCTTAAACAAGACTAAAGTCCAGAAGTGGACGAAGAACAAGAACTTTCTGCTGGAGTTTACAGCCAGTGAGCGCAGTGAAGAAAAAGAAAACAAAAGGATCTTTGAAAATGAATACTTAATAAGAACTAGTCGCCACTTTATTTAAAAAAAGGAAACAACTCATACTTTACCTTGAGTTGTGGGTCTAATTCAAATATTGTCTCTCCTCTTCTCATGTCTGTAACTAACCATGGACCTCCAGCTCTGTCAAACATTTCCACAAGAAAATTATTTTAGACACAAAGGAAAATTATTCACACAGCATGGAAAACAACCACACATAACATTGCTTAACTATGCCTGCATGGTAAATTTTATGACGAGAGTGTTTTGTTTATGCTACCAAACAAATTTATTCAATAATGACAACAATATTATGAGAGTGCATACAAAAAGAGATACTCACTCATATTGAACTACAGGTTACTTTGTAACTATTTTGTGGTGCCCCAACATAACTGTTGACAAAGCCTGACTTTTTTTATTTAGAAAGCCTAAAAGCAACTATAGTCCCATGGCCCGTACTCGTGAACAATGTTAAATGCTAAGCAAATTATACATAAAATGATTCTAAATTCTATGAAATAAGCACTTACGATGGTTTAGATCTCAGCAGTTCAATAATTCCTGGTCCATTCCAATGCTGTGCTGCCTTTAATTCCTCTTCACACACACCTACAATCTGAAATTATAAAATGATACATGACGGACAGGTCCCACTTTTTGTCTCATGGCTTTTAAATATATTGCTCTCTGTGTGGGTCCTGGGGCCCCATTGTAAGGAGGAAAGAAGAACAGATGTGCTAGCCCCACTAACAAGCATGTCATAAGAGTTGACTAATTAGGGGTGGTTCTTTCGAAGTCAAAGTGCATCTGCTTGAGAGGCAAGAAACCAACAGTCTACTTACCAATCAGCCAGAGTTTTAAAATGGATACCCGCAAAACTCAAGTTCTGGAACAAGACTAAAGTCTAGACATGGAGGAACAACTAGAACTTTCCGCTGGATTTTACAGCCTGTGAATGCAAAGAAGAAGATACACCGCATGGATGGATGGCCTGCTACTAACACTTCTGTTTCTACAGTACTACAGTAGAATAAGTTCATACTAGCATATATTAAAAATATGTGTGACAACATTAGCACATCCAGAACTACTCCTGAGGCGGTTTTACTTCTGGAAGGTGCTACAAAGTTACAAATGTCCTAATCTAGCAGACCAAAAGAAACAACTGCTACTGTCAAATGCCTCCTTAATAATGGGTTGTGAAAGTTAAAAATAAGCAAGACACCGGCAATGTCTTTTTGCCATCTCAAATTATCATTTCTGGTCAGAAAAGATTACAAGTCACAAATAACTGAATATCCCATCTTTGCTGCGACTTTCATCATAAACATAGCAAATCATTTGTAGAAAATTTGTTTTGTTTTTTTACAAAATGCTGGAAAGATTCTCAACTCTTTGCCTTTTCCTCTGTCTCATGCATTTTCATGCCTATAATTGTCTTTAATGTGTCTGCTGCCCTGTTGGTTGACACCTGATTATTTTTCCTGTTCCTTCTATCCACAGTGATGTTTGTTATGACAAAAGTATTTTTTTTTTTTAAGCTTTCCAGACATTGATACTGTTTACGCAGTCAAACACAAAACATTAACTCTCTGAGTCCCACAGGGTTTAGCATCACAGGCCCAAGGGGGGTAGTCAAGAGAGACGTAAAATCGGCGCATCATGTGTTTATTGGGCTTCTAGACAGTAACCTAAGAATGTATGATGCGTTCCTTGGGACGTAAAGAATTAACAAGTACATCAGCTGAGTACAAACTGCCCTGTTGAACTACCCTCTCATCACTTTACCTGTATAAAGTTCACTACACCGAGGATAGATGACGTTGGTTGAAGCTGGGAGTCCTCTGTCATCAACATATGTTGTATTCGTGATTCACTGCCATCAAGAGGTGTGTGCCATGAAACATGGTCACCACTGCACAAGACATTCTCTGTGAACGAATTCAGGGAAGAAATAACAGAAAGTTTAAACACAAATCTATGGCAAAACATTTCACAGTATGATTTAACATAAATCAGTATTAATTAATTTTTTAAATCTGCCATTTAAATAGCTGAATCCTTACAGAAATGCAGAAGTTTTAGCATATTTACAATTTTTAAAATGTGGATGCAAACAGTACATTGTACAATTTATTGCCAGGCATATTTGGCTGTATCCCTTCACCTGCATAACTACAGAGTTACATCAACATAAAATGAGGATAAAAACTGAATAAATCCAGTTTTTTGTGCTTCATTTTATGTTGATGTAACTCTGTAGTAACACACCTGACAAGATACAATGAAATATGCCTGGCAGTAAATGGTGCAATGTACTGTTTGTTTCCATATGTGAACATAATTTATAAGCTATGTGCACATGTGGACTGGCACCTGAGACAATAGTCCTCCAAGACTGTCTCAAAACATATCAAGGCAAAACTTTTGGCCAAGAGAAACATCGGCGCAAGTCAAACTTTACGGGTTGCTGAGTGAATTACAAAAGACAGTGAAGTTCACACTAGAGACAACATTGCAGATATACATAATCTATTTCAAGTTAACGAAAGAAGAGGAAGAAGAATTTATCAAATATAAATAAATGCTAGCTGAATGGTTATAATGCTGGGTTCTCATCCGGGAGACCCAGGTTCAATCCTCAGTAAGGAATAGAGATTTTGCTGTAAAAATCAAAATCGAAACCTGTACAGTGCATGGCAACTGCACGAGCAATGCTGTCTTAAATTATCAGGCTCATGATTCCCTGCCCTACATGGATACAAGTGGTAAATAAAGGCAGAAATTACAGTTGAATAAATATTCAGGCCCGAAGATGTGCAATTACCTGACTGAAAAACATATCTGGCAAGAGCCTGCATCAGTGCCGCAGGCCACGTTGGTGGGTTTGCTTCTCCTGGTTCTCTCTTTAATCTAAAAGTAAGTTCAAACCCAAACCCACTGGGGCCATCAGCGCAACCAAGTCTGAAAAAAAAGTGGGGTTTTGAAAAATGTATTTATTAATTAAATGTTTTTTCAAAAATGTATTTATAAATTTATTTCTGTAGAAGGAGCGATAGAGGAAGACAACGAGAGAAGATTCTTGACAGTCTTGTTGCATGGCATGGAGGTGTGTCGGCACACGAACTGATACATGCTGCAGGAGATCGTGGATTATGGAGAGGCATGATCGCCCACGCCAGTCGGCAAGGCACCTGATGATGATGATGATTTATAAATTAAATATCAGTGATCTGATATGCAGATGATACAGTATTGCTATCCATATCACAGACAGGTATAGAAGACCTAATAACCTCAAACTAAAGAAATAGTGAACATTACAACTTATATCTTTCTTCTCTTTTGTCAATATCTGCTTATGCCGTTCATCAGACGATCGGCAGCTGAGCCATGGCGTGCTCAGTCGCTCAATCCCATTATAGACACATACTGAACAAATATTCAGTAAGTTTAAGATAGGTGCCCAGGAATGTCATGGGTACTAAAACGTTCAAGCATGATACTGCCCACATCATTGAGTACAAAAAGGGGTGTTCACTTTTTTTCACAAAATAATAATGGCCTGCAAATCTGCTAAAGGATCTAAATAAATAGTTACAATATAAATAAATACTATATATTTGAAACCATTTCTGAACAAGTTTAATATTTAACATGAGAGAGAGAGAGAGAGAGAGAGAGAGAGAGAGAGAGAGAGAGAGAGAGAGAGAGAGAGAGAGAGGGAGGGAGGAAGGGAGGAAGGGAGGGAGAGAGGGAGGGAGAGAGAGAGACCCGCACACACACACACGCATGCACGCACGCACACACACACACACATACATTAACCAGGTCTGAATGCACTTTGCCAAAGTAATTTAAGTGCTACAAACTTGCTTTGAGAAAAAACATTTTAAACCCTTTGGCCTTGGAAATATTAAAAACAAAATAGGCCCTAATTCCATTAGAAACCCAACAAAACCCTTTACAAATTTTTTTAATTAAAAAAAAACAACATAAAAACATTTCTGATACAGGTCACTAATAAATCATAAAAAATGTATTTATCTAAATTTTTTCTTATTTTTTAAAAATATAAAGATATAAGAAATTAGTAATCAATAAACCAGAACAGGGTGAAATGGAATACATCAACTGGGGCCTTATAAAAATGTATAGGTGACTCACGCCGGGACCCTGTAATCTCTATCACTGAGGCTTACGAGATAATCTGACATCAACTTGACCTTTAATAAGCCATTTAGCTGAAAGGCCCCCACCCAATCCAACAGCTAGTTAACGTATTTATATATCCTGACCTAAACGTCTGCTCAGATGTGAACTCAGCCAATAGCGTAACTATGCATTTTGTAAACAGGTCACCACAGACTCATCGGAAAAGTGACACTTACGGGGAATGGGACCTGGCTGGAAGTGTCAATTTGTGTGTAGCTTTTTGGGGCGAAAGGTTTAACATCGAGATTTCTGTTTAAACTGGATGGATAGTTGATTCATTTTGACCTATTCATATGTGTGCCTTAAGCACATTGTAAAGTGACAAATAACAGTAAAGGAAATACACTTAATAAGAATGAGGACGGAGCACACATGGGAATGCCCCGAGTGCCGTGATGTCAATTCTTGACTCAACTCCTAATAAGAAGAAAATCGCCAAAGCTGCACTTCAGTGACTGTGGTATAGTGCTAGCCAGCAAAACCTGTTCAATCAATCAATCAGGTGCCGTCTCCACAATGAAGGTTGGCTGCAATGGATCTCCAACAAGCCCTGTCTCTTGCCCTTGATGTACACTCGCTCATACTGCTGTTCGTCCATCTCTTGATGTTATCCTCCCACTTGTAACGCTGTCTGCCTCTTGCTCACCTACCTTGAACCTTTCCCTCTAGGATGATCTTTACAATACTGTTATGTCTTTTAATGTGACCAAAATATTTCACTTGTCTCTTTTTTATTTCACCTAGCAACTCTCTTTTCATTCCCAATTTCCTCAGTACCTCTGTATTTCTTCTTCTTCTTCGCGTTCACCAGCTGTAAACTCTGGCGGAAGGTTCTGGTTGCTCGTCCACTACTGAACTGCAGTCCTGCTCAAGAAGCTGAGTGTTGCGTGGGCATCAGTTTTACAGATCTCATTCTATCGAATACAGACTGTTGGTTTCTTGCCTCTCCGGCAGATGTACTCCGACTTCAAAGGAAGCTCCCCAATAAGTCGACTCTTAAGACATGCTTTTGGGGAGGCAGTGGGTCTATTCTTGTTTTCCCCACAATGGGGTAACGGAACCCACACGGGGACCTCTGTATTTGATAGCTTTGGTTTCCATGAAATTCGACCTAATACCTGTTACAACAGTGTAAGTTAAGGGAAATACTAAATTGCACTAACTCATATACTCTGCAATCTCCATGAAGGTCTGACAGCCCAAAACTGATGTAATGCCAGTGTGGTGGTATATTCCGATCTGGGTCTCCAGGGTTTGCATACATACTGATGTAATCCAATGGATCTGGACCTCCTAGCCTGCAAGAGCACAAACAAACAATTAAAAAAAAAAAAACTGGAATATGTGAGATCTGGATGGAGAGAAAGAGAGAAAGAATTCTTGGCTCTCCTGTAAACTACGGCCGGTAGACAACAGTACACGGCCGGTTAGTCGGAGTTCTGTCCCTTGGCTACAGTGCAATTACGGAGTGGAAAAGGAGAGAACAAAACAATTGACACAATTACTGTGTGTTGGCGATAGACAGCGTGCACTGCCCTGCTATAATCATATGGTTACGGTTTGGGTTAGGGTTAGAGTTAGGGTTTGGGTTAGGGTTAGGGTGTGGGTTAGGTTTAGGGTTAGGGTTACGGTAGGGTGTGGGTTAGGGTTACGGTAAGTGTCGCCGCATCTCATCTTCGCACAAACTCATTGTAGCAACCCAAACCCTAACCGTATGATGACAGTAGGGCACTGCACACTGTCTATCGCCAACACACAGTAATTATGTCACTTGTTTCGTTCCCTTTACTCCACTCCGTAATGTGTCGCAAGAAGCGGTAATTGAACGCGGACGCTAATTTGAGTCTGCAAGGCATGTCGACCTCACTGTGTTTTCTGATTCGTGCCTTTTCCACTCCGTAATTGCACTGTAGCCAAGGGACAGAACTCTGACTAACCGGCCGTCTACTGTTGTCTACCGGCCGTAGTTGACAGGAGAGCCAATAGCCAAATTCTTATACACTTTTCTGTTCTGAGTTTCTAATCAATGAATGTGAAGAGGAGGAGAAAGAAGAAGAAAAAGAAAGAAAGAAAAAGCAGAAGAAGAAAAAATAGACTTCTGATAGACTGTTGTTGTGGCATGAAGTGGTGCCAGCACACTCACTCATACTGCGCATTGCTGTATAACACCAGGGTAAGAAAGACATGATGACCAATCTCATTAAACCCATTAGGACAAGCTCATCGTAATATTCCCTGGACATACTGTTTGGAGTCACACCACATTCTGAATTATAATTTATATCTTACTGCAGCACTGATTTTTTTTTAAAATGCCCTGGAAAAAAAAATAAACTAACATGTTTACCTAGCATGAAATGTCCTAATATTTGTAACTAAAAACTATAAAGCAAACAAACTAAAAAAGAAATTAAAAAACTACTGCAACAAGAAATATAAATTGACATGTACAAGATGGGAAAATAAAATAAGACATTTAGCACCCACACAAACTATAATTAATAAAAACAGTAAAAAATAAAAAGGTACCTAGCTAGCAAGTCTGCACTGTTTAAAAAAAAAAAAATCAATATGTTGACTAAAGTACCTAATAAATCACATATGACACAACTGTAACTTAGATAAAAGCATGCATCCATTTTTTTGGTTAGGCTAATTTTATTATATAAAAGTGAACATAAATGCGTTCATCATAAACATACATTCCCACACCCCAACCCCCCACCACCAAAAAAATGTTGACTCCAGTATTTTATGATTTCTTTGAAGATTATAAACAAACCAAACACTGCAGTTATTATTAGTATTACAGTATTGTACATGTGATGTGATGTAACCTGTGATGTGTCATGTGACTGATAGTTAACAGAACAAATATTTACACTAAACAAATTAACAACTTTTGTTGGACAAATGGCAACAATAACATCAATGAAAATATTAAAATTCACATCAGCAACTAGAAGACAAAGACTATGTCTAGGGTCATAGAATGGGGACATACTAATTCTCAGAGTGACAAATAGAAATGTGATAACAATATACAACTGAATATACATTTGGTATAGACTCTTAATCACCGCAACAAAAGTCACTTTTCTTCAATTACAAAAAGTACTGGCAAGCGACTTGTATGTATCACCATAAAGATAAACACAGTAGGACAGTCAACAGAGCAGATGAGAACGGGCATCATCATCTGGAATCAGAATGAGAGAATAAAGGCCAATTTTCTTACACTCACCAGTATTTAACCAGTGCGGTCACTTGTAAGGGGTTTGGTTGATCGGGATACAAGCGACGACATGCCGAATAAATTGCTTCCAGACCTGGAGGTGTTATGGGGACATTTCCTGGTGTATAGCTAGCAGAATGCGATTGTCTATCCCTGTCGTCCATCTTGTTACAGTATTCACTTGTTTCTATCTTGGCTGTTCTGAATTCTCTACCGACTCATTCCGGTAAAGGTTATTTGCGTAAAGTAAAATTTAGCTACGATTTAGCACCTCTAAAATTTCGATACATATATTTAAAAAATAACTGTCAAGGACCGACTTGTAAAATAGGTAACCTAACTCTCGACGTTGTTGTATATTATATTTAGGAGTAAATTAAACTGGAGGCATTATACAAAAGTTGGAACAGCCAAAACAAGGGAACTGAAGACCACCCACGTTGTTGACCTACCCACGGCCACGAAAGATACAGATGGGCGTGGACCTACCAAACCCCCACCCGTTTTTCCCCATTTTGTCAACACTTTCTCTCCCCCACCCCCCTCTCTCTCTCTCTCTCTCGCCACACACACACGCACACAATGTGTATATGTCTTTGAGGGAGAGCGTGTGTGGTGTATCCAAGCCCATAGAGAGGGCTATGTGGTAGTTACCAGCACATGGTCTCGAGGCATGGTGTCCGCCTCGAGTGCTAGAGATTCCGGGTTCAATCCCCGGTAAGGGTTGGGATTTTTTCACGTGGACCTGAACTTCTAGTATTTTCCCTGGTCTCTGGGTATTGAGACCAGACGCCCGTGTGCATTGTTTGCACACGCAAAAGATTCCCTGGCAGTTGGAAGTCGAAAAGAGCAGCCTAATGGAGCTAGTTAGTTTATCCTTTACAGGACGTCGCAGAACTAACCCCAACATTTTTTGGCTTTTGTGGTTTTTCTAGGCAAATTTACGTCCTGTAGTTTGTCATTGCTTTCTGGACGGTTGGCTTCTCGATACCAATATCGAAACCAAAGCAAGGCACAAGGCCCGCAGCTGGGATCAATCCCCGCACCCTGGCATTACAAAGCGCATTCGCAACGCCTAAGCTTCAGATGCTGACAGTCCCTTAATAAGCATGTCATAAAAGATTATCTGACTTAATGTTTGCTGACATCAGACGCACTGGGGGAAAAGGAGCAAATATCACAACCTAGCTGTGAACCACTACGCAGTGTAACAACAGCCCTTTTAATGGGAGGAGAAGAAGAAAAAGAAGAAAAGGGGGAGGAAGAAAAAGAAGAAGAAACTGACTAACCTGGTCTCATGTACTGCATGTACTCTTTCTATTGTTCTCCTCCCTGTCTCAATACACACCTCATTAAATACTCATCCATGCCAAATACTTGCCGGTTGTATAAACAGTTAATAACGGAGCTACCCGGGCAAAAATATTATAATTAAAAATCTACCCAAAGTATTTCAGGATCCTCGCCGGTGCTACAGAACCTGTGCACTGTGCTGAGCTTCTTCGGACTCAGACTTGAGTTAGAAGAAAGAGCGGAGCAATTATGGGTTATTACCAGTGTGCCATGATGTTGATCCGTTGTTTAAACTTCAAACTCTGTTGCACAAAAGTCACCTTCTGTCCTCGATGTCCTGGGTTTACCGACGATGATCTCCAGAAACAGAGTTGCACTGGTCAAGGTGTACATATGGGTACAGGCAGACGTTGACCACACCCTGCACAACGCTATCGATGACATAAAAAGGAGCGCGGCTCAAAAGAGACCACTCCTGGATGGCCGAGGTATGTGACCTTGATTAGATCAGTCATGAAAAACAATGAACGGATATGCTATACCGGTTTTCATGCATGGTCTTTATAAAGTGGTCATCGCTCTAGGAAGGCACTGCAGGAATCAGATTTCCGTCGCTGTAGACGCCGAGATAAGGGCACTGATAATCAGCTTTCACGACCAGATCATATATTTGGATGGGTCCAAAGCGGGTCAACGTCAGCACGGGCATACACAGCACAAACAATTGGGGGAAAAAATACGAGGATAATGGCACTCACCAGGCATCTACGTCATCATGGCCGTGGAGATAACCAGTGTTTTCAGAGGACTCATTTGAGCAGCTGAAGAACTGGTCACATATGGAGTGATCTTATAGAGTCCATGAATATGCTTCGCATCAGGTAATATACACTATAAATAGGCAGAAAACACTTGGAAGTAGCATATAACTTACATTACCTGTATATGCATACCTGTACATGCAGGAGTAAAAGATAATGAACTAGCGGACCCCTTGGCAAGTAATGCACCAACGAATGTGTGAAGAGGTGTGGACAGAGTTGCTATAATCAACGTTGTACGGATAAGGTTGAGAATGACAAATCTCTAATACTAACACGATAGCCTGACCTGGAAATTAAACAGGGTGAAGCAAGCAGATGCTGTCTTCGCAGTCAAGATAGGAGACATTCTAATCAACTTCTCGTGGAAACAGTCAACAGAGGTACTTTGGAGTAGCTGCTGAATCGGAAGACTAGGCGTGCATGAGAATGCCCAGGGCGCAATGACGTCAACTGTGGTAACATAACTTAACAAGCATCACCACAAGAAAATCAGTGCACGATTATTGTTTGTTTGTTTGTTTTAGTGTCCAGAAGCCATGAGTTGTTAACCCCTGGGTTCGGTATTATGGATATCGAAACCTTTCGGCCTTGATTCCATTGTAAATACCGTAAATCTGGGAGAAAATGTGACTTTCCTGCCTACCCCCGGGATTGAACCCGGATCACAAGGAGTTCGTCACCCAGTCTCCGCGCAATCCGGTTTAGCCAACTACGCTAGAGAGCCGGGCATGCACGATTATTAAAAAAAAAAAACAATACTTGGGAGAAAAGTTGGAGAAAGAAGTAGGTAGTGGCATAAAAGGGTCCTTTTCTTTACTTGTGTGACATGATAAGCGTTGTCGATCATGGCTCGCCATTTCACAGGTGCACGGATCAAGTATGTGATCTTGTCCTGCCTTTGTTATGTGGTCAAGCCTTCTAAGTATATTTCCCACATTTTCTCCTCTTACTTTTACTATCTAGATTTTTTTTTTAAATCTTCAAGAAAGTAGTTTATCGTTACTTTCTTTCTTTGAAGTGACGATACAAGTCGGCGTCTGGGGCAATTAACATCATTGTCCTCTTGTGCTCTGTGGATAAGCATAGGGGGTCATGTTTCATCAATTACAGGATCCTCTGAATCACGGATCAGGTCAGTGATCTTATCTCCAAACAGTCTTCATCAAGATACAAAAATAGTCACGATTTCACAACTTCAGAGAAGCGACATAAATGGCTGCTGAAAAGAAGCAATCCAATATGGAAATTAACATTATTATGTGCTAATCTGCCTAACGTTGGAAAACTTGAGACCATAACCAACAAGTATACATTGGCCGCTCTCAAGCACTGGGTACGCCCTTCCCCGCCCGACCTTCTTCAATTGCTGCTGTTGGTTCCCCTCTAGGATTGCAGCCCGCAGGATCGACACCTCATGGATGAGAATCCTACATGAACAAATCCTGGTGAGCCACGTTCAACCCTAAGGTCATATTATTGCCCCCCTCCCGGGGGGTGGAAGGGGCGATTACAAATTAATCTGGTCAGGATCAGGCAGGGATATCCATTCTTTTCTTCTGCTTTTAATAATTTACAGCTAGCCTTCGACAACTGTGCTTTTCAGTTCCACCTAACCCTTAATTCGATTCTAGACACCTTTTTACGACACATTTGCTAAGGGACAGTGGTCTATCCCCACCCCCCCCCCCCACCCCTCCGAAAAACAAAAAAAGGAGGCCCGTAACTCACACGGGCATCCCGGCACTTAACAGCCGACCTTATCTGCGGAGATGCCAATAGCTGTTAGTGATTGTGCACCAATACAAGAGAGTTCCACTTCCAGCGGATTAGAGTAGTGGGGTTTATTTCCTTCTACAACTACTGTGTGAATCTTCTCAATTATGGATTCGTACGACGTTATTGCAAACCAGCCTGTAGTTATTGACAATGTATGTGCAGTACCATTCGTACAGTGTAGTTGTTCGTACTTTTTGGCATTTACAAGTCATAAATTTGTCAGAACGCCATATTCTATGTAAATTATAAAACGACCGTCTGCAGTCATTGGTGTGATGATTCATACTTAACCTCATCTCAAGTCCTAAGTTATCCCTGCCACTCGTCATTTTTTATAGTCTGCTCTTCTGAAACGAATTTCTCACATTTGGCACTTCTTTATCGTTAAAATTTATTGAAATTATACAATTAATAATGCTTTAATTAGTTATTATATAATACACATAAAAAAATAAATTGGCTACTAATTAATTACACAGATGTGATTATTTACTTTGTATTAAAGATTAATATTTTGTTTATTCACCAGCTATTTGATACCTTTTCACTGGCAGTTATGATAAATTTATTGCATATAATTGATGCATAATTCTCCAGTTGAATTCTTTACCTCATGTCCTTGTCCCTCTATCTTTTCAATAACCAATGATATCAGTCATTTTTTGGATTTGATTGTTGCGGCTATCCTCCGAATAACGGTCCCAAATTATCATGGCCGAAAATATACTCTAACAGGGCCTTAGTCACATGTAATTGTGGACCTATTTCCATTGACTATACTGCCACCGCCGAGAGTATCTCCCGTGTCGCACGTAGCGGCGCGGAATGGGGCTAAACTAGATGGCTGGGACTCACAAGCAAATAAAATGAAGGAAGCTGCAGGAGATGCGGTAGCTGCTGCTCATGAGTCCCAGCCATCTAGCCCCGCTCCCTGCTGCGCCACTCCCTGCGTGGGCGATACTTTCGGCTGTGACTTTAACTCGGCGGAAGCTTTTCCGCGGTATGCTGTGTAGTTGCCGGAAAGAGGTCTGCAATTTACACGACCAGGGGGTATAGTGACCATATTGAAGAAAAGCGTAAGTGTATCACACAGTTTGATAAACCAGTGGGTGCTGAGTTCCGGGACTTTAGCTGGTTCACATTTAAGGCTGGGTCGACCTGGGAGCCAAGGTCATTTCTGAAAATGTTCTGCCTCTGTCAGGACCTGAATCCATGATCTTTTGATGGCAGATGAGCATCTTGCTGCTACACCATGGTGGCTCCCCCTTCTTTTATATGCTCAAATTAAATACAGAATATCAAACAACATGCCATGTATTGCTTAATATATGCAGGTTTTAACTGATCTAACCGTATTGTCGGGACATAAATAAAGTAAAAATATATTTCAGTTCTCAATCCCCTTATGGGTACCAGGGCCACTTTTCTGGGAAGGAATCTTAAAAATTTACCAAGACATCAAATTTCTTCTGCTTCTTTTTTTCTTCTCTTCCTCTTTTTTTTATGATAAATTTTCAGAGAGCTATAAGGATGAGTTTTCCTTCTAATGCAATAAGGAAAAAGGTCATATTTTGAGATTCTTATGGGACGAAAGGGGTTAAGAGTGAATGCAGAAAAGGAAGAAAATGTCTCATGCATTATGTTAAATTTTCCTATCATATAGATTATTTCTAATCTTGTTCACAGGGTTCAGGTGTTATCAAAGCAGGCTTTGCAGGTGATCAGGTTCCGAAGTATATATTTCCAAATTAGTAAGTATGCTAAACATATGATAATTGAACAGAGGGAATAAAGAGAATTTTTGTAGTGCAGTTTCCAGAGTGGAGGCAGGCTACAGTGCACCCACTGCTTTCTTTAGGAAAATTAATAGTGAGGAATCAGTCTGTTCCACAGTGCCACTCTCATACCACTGTTTGAAAACTATAACAGCTTCCTTATTTTTTTTATTATTTAAGGGGGGAAAAAAAAGCAGTCATCTACAGAAACCTTGAGGATTGTTAAACACGTTCCCCAACCTCCTAAGCAAGTAAACTAGTGAAATCCAAAAGCACTCAGAACCATTCCCCCTCTCCCCCGTTAACACATTAAATATTTAAAATTACTTTTGAATTCTTTAGCTGTTACATATGGTTACTTATCCATAAAAAAATGCATACAAGTTTTAAAGGACAGTGTGATGCACGACAAAGCTCTTTGGGAGAGTAAACAGTACAGGAGCGCTGTTCTAATCAAAACGTTTTCTAGAAGAAAAAGTACCAGAACTGACCACAGAGTGCATAAAAAAAGCTGATGGTACTCACCACTGTCTGTTACAATACTGCTGACAGAAATGATGTCTAAAAAAAAAGTGTCAGTACTGTGTACCACTGTGTATTGCCAGAAAAAAAAAACACGCTTTGGTTCTAATAACTTCAAGAGCTATGTGAATAACACTATGTAGAGGGCACCACTAAGATAAGTAGCAAAGCCGTTAAAGATAATCAATCCAACTTCATGCTCTGTCATTCAGTTCACAGTAGCAGGTGTTTAAGGGTCCCGGACGGCTGCTAGAGCTACAAGCTGCATGCAGTGTGGGAGACTCTTGGTAGGCTAAACACTGATTTGTGGAGGTTCCACAGTGCAACTCTCATACCACTACAGCTTTAAAAAAAAAATATGCAGTCCGCTGTGGAAATCAAACCCTAGCACTTGTGGATCATGAAATTGTTTAACACACTCCCCAACCTCCCAACCCAGTAAAGTATTAATACCCATAAGCAGTCAGAAAGACAAAAACCCCACAGTTTTATGAGACTGGCTCGTAAAGAATAAAATCTGATGCAGTGATGCTCATCTCCCCATGTTGGGTTCAGGGGCCCCATTGTTAAAAAAGATAAGTGAATGTCTTGATGACCAAAGTCTTCATCAATATAGTTAACCCGTCCATAAAAGAAACTTCCTTGTGTGGATTCTGGGGCCCCATTGTAAGGGAAAACAAAAACAGACCCACTTCCTTCCTAACAAGCATTTTGAAAGAGTTTACTATTTAGGGATCTGTCCTTTGAAGTCAGAGCTCATCTGCCTGAGAGATAAGGAACCAACAGTCTGCATACTTATAAGCCAGATCTGTAAAACAGATGTGCGTGTAAAACTCAGGTTCCGGAACAAGACTAAAGTTAAAAAGTAGACAAACAACTTGAACTATCCATCATAGAAGAAGAAGGTATTCATCCTTGCTGTAAATCAACCTTTTGGTTTCATTTTATATAAAATTATAGCAAAGTTTATATTCTGTTTTTTACAATAGTATTGGAAGACCTAAACATGTTCGTATAATGGCAGGAGCCCTGGAGGGCGACATATTTTTTGGACCAGAAGCAGAGGTAGTATCTTTGTTTTCAATTTTGTTTGTTAATTGTAAAAAGAAAAGAACTCATGAAGGGAATATTATAAAGTTATAATCATACTAATATTTTATGCAATCTTTCTTTGTCAATTGAGACGAGAAAGAGAATTCTTAACAGTTGTTTAAATCCTATATTGATATACAGATGTGAATCATGGACAGTTAGTAAATTAGTGAAAACTTATTTGGAAAATTTGGAAGCTGCGGAGATGTGGTTCTCTAGACGAATAATGAGAATACCCTGGACAGATAAAAAGATTAATGAAGACACCTTGAAAGAAACTGATGCATGAAGAGAACTGACTGCCCACATCAGAAAGAGACAGTCTACATTCTTTGGCTGGTGATACTGGAGTATGTCATGACAGTAGGAAAGTTGGAGGGGAGGAGAGGCAGAGGGGGACTGAGAGAACAGATGCTAGACAGTTTGACATCATGGCATGGAAAATAATCTGTGTCAGAGTTGATTGAAAGTACACGAGACAGAAGGTTGTGGATAACCATGACTACCAACACCACACGGCATGGACTTTAGGAAGAAGAAGATAACTGTTTTGAACATAGAACATATTGACTGACTGTGATTAAGCCTTAGTAGGTATGATCTGTTTTGCTTTTCTTGGAACAAGGTGTGGGTACTCACAAAAAATATTTCAACAGAGGTGCTGGTTCTCACCAGAAAGTATCTGTTACATAAGCACACACAAAAATTATGCTTATAAAAAGTGCCAGTACTGCACATCGTTGTGTACTGCCATTAAAGAAAAGCCCTGGTTGGGGTTCTTCTGTAGATTTTGGATATATCTTTGATAAAAGATTGCAACCCAGTGTCTAAAATTATATAGACCCACTGCCTACCCAAAAGTATGTCGTAAGAGTCGACTATTGGGAGCTTTTTTCAAAGTCGGAGTGCATCTGCCTGAGAGGTAAGAAACCAACAGTCTGCACACAAATGTGTCAGATCTGTCAAACGGATGCATGCGCACCACTCAGGTTCTGGAACAGGACTGCAGTCGAGACGTGGACGAACAACCAGAACTTTCCACCAGAGTTTACAGCTAGTGAACACTAAGAAGAAGAAAAAGAATTCCTTTGTTTGTCACAATAGCAAAAATAGCAATCATGCCTCACCAAAGTCTGCCATCTTCAGCAGCAAGCATCAGTTCTTGTGCTGACACCCTTCCATGCCATGACAAAAGGCTGCATAAAGCCTTCTTATGTTGTCTTCCTCTGTCTGTCCTTCCACAGATCTTTCCAGTGGTCACAAAATGTTCCAGTTTCCCTCTTTTCATAACATGACCCAAAAAAATGATGACTGTCTCTTTCTGACATTTGTGATAAGTTGTCTTTGAGCCCTCACCTCACTCAAAACATTTGGGTTGCTCTTTTTTGACTGTCCATGGGATTTTAAGGATTCGTCAATAAAGCCACATCTCCAGGGCCTCCAGTAATTGTTTGGCTTATTTATTAATTGTCCCAAGATTCACAGCCATAGGTAGCCGTAGCTACAACTACACCCAGGATTCAAAGGGGGGGGGGGGGGGGGGGGGGGGGGGGGGGGGGGGGAATACACTAAAATCGAATCAGGAAAACACCCCAGTCATTATGACAGAATCCAGATATTTTATTTATAAGATTTTTGAATGAGTGCAGACTTTTTTTTTTAAAATACACAGTCAGGCTGCTTGGACATAACTTGGGTTAAAATCCTTATCATGTGGATTTAGAAGAAACGTAACCTTGGCTGCCAGATTGACCCAACTCAAATGTGTACCAGTCAATGTCCTGGGAAGTAAAGGTGGTCGGCATGATGTACCACAACACCCATTGAGTGCTGACTGGTCTTTAAGAAAATGAGTCCAGCATCCTTGCCTGGTATGCCACCTACATAGAAAGGGTCCTTTACTTTTATTATACTCACTAATTGTTTGAGTAAAAAATTGTTTATGACTGTGGACATTTAAAAAAAAATTGATTACAGGAACATAGAGGTCTTTTGTCTATTCGTTACCCCATGGAACATGGCATTGTGAGAGATTGGAATGACATGGAACAAATATGGCAGTATATTTATTCAAAAGATCAATTGCAGACTGTTTCAGAAGAGGTGAGTTTTCGTCGGTTTTTGTTTTTTAGGGAAAAGAAAAGCATGAACAATTTGTTGCATGTCCTTCTTCTATATTTTTAGTCGTTTTTATGAATGTTATCTTAAAGTCAAAACTAATTTCTGTATCAGGCGACTGATTATGAGTTCATTGGCCATACTCATACTTTTCTAAACTCTAATTGTCTGTTCCATGGAAATGAAATGTCTTAGAAGGACTGTAGGAGTGAACAGAAAAGATAAAATCAGGAATGAGGTCATACGAGATAAAGTCGGCACAGAACCAATTCTATATTACATACTTACTTACTTACTTAGTCGCTCCTCTTCTACCTTGGGGTGTAGAGGTTTGCCAGAGAGATCGCCAGACGTCTCTATCAGCAGTTTTCTTTCTGGCTTTGTTCCATTTCAGTCCTCTGTCAGGGACTGTCGGATGTTGTCTTCCCAGCGCACCCTGGGTCGTCCCGGAGGTCTGGTTACCTGGTTCTTAGCCTCCCATGCTTGCCATGGTGGCCGATTTTCTCCCATTCTGCATACATGTCCAAACCATCGTAACTGTGACTGATCTACTCGGGTTAGTAAGGGCTGGGTATCAAGATCTTGACATATTGTCTGATTGCGGAATTTGTCCCTTCTTGTCACTTGGACCACCTTTCTCAGGTATCTCATTTCCGAGGCTTGCAGCTGGCTTCTGTGAGCTGTTGTCATTGCCCCTGGTTACCTGGTTCTTAGCCTCCCATGCTTGCCATGGTGGCCGATTTTCTCCCATTCTGCATACATGTCCAAACCATCGTAACTGTGACTGATCTACTCGGGTTAGTAAGGGCTGGGTATCAAGATCTTGACATATTGTCTGATTGCGGAATTTGTCCCTTCTTGTCACTTGGACCACCTTTCTCAGGTATCTCATTTCCGAGGCTTGCAGCTGGCTTCTGTGAGCTGTTGTCATTGCCCATGACTCACACCCATAGGTCAGGACTGGTACATAGGTAGAGCGGTAAACAGCCATTTTCGTCCTCTTGCCAATTTCTCTTTTGCTAAGAAACCCTCGGTTTATGGCCTGGAAGTGTCTTCCAGCAGCTGCTTTTCGTGTAGCCTCCATTTTGGACTAGTTACCTGATGTTATCTTCCCCATGATTGAATTCCTTCTCAGCAGTGAGGTCCATTATTTCTGGGTCATGACTTCCATCAACGCCGAGGAGCTCCAAGAAGTATTCTTTCCATCTGCCCATGATATCATTTGTAGAAGTAAGCAGAGCCCCTTCCTTGTCTTTTATGAATTTAAGTGGGCACTCTTTTTCCTTCCTCATGTTCTTAAGGGTCTTGTAGAACAGTTTTTGGTTTTCTCTTGCATTCTTTTCCAACTTTTCTCCAAACTCTTCCCATGATTTCTGTTTTGCTTTAAGCACAATATTTTTGGTCTCTGTTCTGAGTGCCACATATTGTTTATATTTCTCTATTTCTTCAGCTGTGTTTCTGGCTGCCAGGTATTGCTTCCATGCCCTTTTCTTTTCTCCTATTTTCAATTTGACTTCTTCTGTCCACCAAGGTGTTCTGTGTCCCCGCCTTCCAATTGGGACGTCACCACATGCTTCTACTGCAGCTGCTGTGAGGATATTCGTGAATCTGCACCAGAGGGTTTCAGTGTCCTCTGATGATTCTTCTTCAGTTCCTATTGCTTTCACTATTAGCTCCTGGTATCTAGCCTTAATATCTGGCTCTCTTAGCTTGTATGCTTTAATCCTCATCCCTTCTTGGTTGCTTGGTTTCTTGCACGGTTGTCGGTGTTGCCTTGTTGAAGCAGTTCTTTCAGTTGTTCTCTTTATTGTGACCAGATAGTGGTCACTTCCAATCTGTGGTCCTCTCATGACTCTGGCATCTCTCACAAACTTGAATGAACTTTTCCTAACTATGGCGTAGTCAATGATGGATTTTTCATTCTTTGAAGGTTCACATCTTGTGTATGCATGTATACGCTTGTGGGGGAATTTTGTGTTTGTAATGACAAGGTTCTGTTCCCCGCAGAATCTGAGAAGTCGCTTGCCATTATCATTCAAAACATCTTCACCATATCTCCCGATCACTCCACCCCATCTAGAGTGATCATTTCCTACTCTGGCATTTAGATCTCCTAGGGGGATAATTTCATCGTGACAGTCATCTATGGTCCTTTGGAGCAGTTCAAAGAATTCTTCTTTAACATCTACTCGCTCATCTTCATTTGGCCCGTACACAATGACAAAATTGACAATTTTATCTTCTTCTTTCAGATCTAACACCATTATTCGCTCTGAGATGAATTTCCATCCCTTGATGTTACTAACTTGATTCCTGGCCACAATACAGCCAACACCTCCCTTGGCTCTCTCCGTCATAGGGACACCACTGTAGAGCAGCATACTTCCATCCTGATCTGTGATTCCTTGCCCCTTTTTCTTGGTTTCAGTCAGAGCCAAGACTCCTAATTTTGCTTTCCTCATCTCCCCTACTAACTCGTTTTCCTTTCCGTTAATGCCTCTTATATTCCATGTTCCATAAATCGTAGTCCGTAAGCCATGCCAGTTCGTCGCCGTTAGGATCCGTCCAGTTTTCTCTCTGTAGTTACTTGTAATCGTGGTTTAAGGCAAACAGGTGATTGGCCTGTTGTGCCTTTGCATGGTGGAGGGGCTGCCTCCTTGCGGCCTCCATGCAGGCCATCTGGCTGATTCACGGTTACCCACTACTTCCGGAGATGCATGAAGCACTCAGGTTCAGCCAGACCCTCCTCCTTTTACAGCCGGGCTTGTGACCGGTCTTAGCGGAGTTCTATATTACATACAAAGACAGAAAATCAAATGGTTTGCCCACTTGGAGCTTGCATATTCTTGTTACAGATCTAGCTTATTTGTGCAAAGGAAGCTATGATCTTTTCTGCATTGGCCGGTCTCCCGGTTGGGAACTTGTTTCAATGATGAAAACGGAGAGGTGTACATAGATCTTGACCAGTATAAGCCCTGGTGCACCACCCTATGGGGTTCAGCAGCTCTGCATCCCAAAGGCAGACACATTACAGAGACCACAGACGCTACCAGGAAACTCAATAACAACAAACTCACAAGTGCATTACTTTCACACAGGTTGAATGAATCAGATGTATGGTCATATTTATTTTGTATACTGTGACTAAATATGCAGTTGAAAATAGATTAATCACGCACTGTTTGTTGTTTTGGAACAGACGGCAGTAATGCTATGTGAAGCAGTTCTCTTAATTTCTTACAGTATTTTGTCAGTTTATTTATTGCCATGGTAACACAGTTCTTTCCATTTCTTAGTCTTCTTTCAGTTTATTCTAGTCACCATTGAAAACACCGTCTGGGGCAGACAGGGTTAATGCCATGGTGATACAGTTCTTTCCATTGCTTACAATCTTCTTCTATTTATGCTTCTGTTAGTTTATTCTATTTACCACTGAAAAAAATGTCTGGAATAAAAAGAAATAATTTGCTTTCCCAAGCAAGAACAATTTGTAATTTATTCTATGAACTAACCAATCAGTTTTTGCATTTATCATCAGCACTAATGTGTTAAACCTGTGCTTGTGTTCCAGCACCCTGTATTGTTGACAGAAGCTCCCTTGAACCCGCAGAGGAATAGAGAGAAAGCTGCAGAGATATTCTTTGAAACGTTCAATGTCCCGGCCTTATTTATTTCCATGCAGGCAGTGTTGAGTTTGTAAGTGATGATTCATTCTAAGGTGTTAATTTTAAGTGCTTTGACTAAATGTGGCACGACCCATGAAGGGGAAGCAGAGATTGTTTACAATGTAAGCTATTCAGTCTTGCATTATGATGCTAAAATAGTTGGAGATATGGGGTGAGTTTCTTTGTAAAGAAATACAAAAATGATTGGCTAGTTGGCTGATAATCCTTTGGAAGACTTGAGATTTTACTCTAAGGCCATTCATATTCAGATAGATGAGGCCCAAAAAGGGTTGCAAATACCGGAATAAAGAGTGTAGAGACAATTTCCTTCCAAAAAAGACGCTAAAGTACCATCACTGTGCTTTCTTCTCCCTCTACCAGCACAGTTACCAGTGGATTATGCAAAACTTGTACAGAAGCTTCTCATCTGGCATATTATTATGTAACTAGGTCATGGTTCAGCACAGCATGTATCAACTGATTGGGTTTATGCCATTGTTTGTGATCTTTCCTCCTGAGCCTAGTATGTTGTCCACACAGTGCCAAGAAGGAAGATATTAACAGAAGCTCAATAATATAGAATGAAAAGAAAGTTTCTGAAGAAATAGAAATGTAAATGCAAAGTACTTTGGTCAGATTAAGTGACACAAGGCTTCAGTGACACGAACGCGCTTCGTAATGCTGGGGTTTTGGGTTCGACCCCAGCTGGAAATGTAAAATTTGCCTAGAAAACCACAACAGCCAGAAAATGCCTGGGTTGGTTCTGCAACGTCATGTATTAAAGGATACACAACTAACAAGTGGCACAAGTCTACTAAACACTACAAACTTGAGGAACAGGCTGAGAGCAGCGGGGCTGGATGGCATCAAAAAGATATAGATAACATCAAGACATTGTTAGAATACATTCTCACAGAATGTCTAATGAATGTTCAGGATGGGAGACGCATTACTGTGAATCTTCAATGTGAAGATGGCGCTGGGTGATGAAAGAGGTAGTCTAGACCCACCCATTGTTAACTTAAGCCATAGTTTTCTACTACTCTTAAACAAGCCTTTAGATTCTAGATTTTGCATGAGTTCACCATTAACAGGCTAAACGAGAGGTGAAGATGAAGACGATTCAAATTAATGAAAAGTAATATTTGCCGTTCCAAAGCCTGGAGGAGAAAGGAGGAAGTTTGGGCATGGGGCCAGCTTTCCTCCCCTGTACAAATGTATTTGCTGCAGGATCTTGCAGGAGCCATTGTGGGGAAATCAGTAGCGCGCATGCCCTATAGTTGGCTGAAAAAAATCAACTACTAAAGGCATGAAATGCATTCCAACACACATTTCTGAGGAAAGTGATGAACATAAAAGGGGAAAAATTTAAGAGTAGTGAATAAATAAGAGAAATGTCTGGGCAACCACTAGTATCAGCAGTTATAAGACAAGAGAAGATGGTGACATATTGGACAGATTCTGACAAGAAATGAACGTTGAGTCACCAAACAGGCACTGAAATGGGAATTAGATCAACTGATATAACGAGGACATCCAAGAGAAACCCTAAGGCGAATGTTGATGAGAGAAGCCAAAGGAGCTGGACTGGGTGACACTCAACATGTAAATCAATGTTTACTTCATCGTTATTGTTCCTAATAACTAGAAAAATAACATGATATTGAATTGATTTCACAGGATAGAATGTAATACATAAATCGACTGTGAGCCCTATGTGACATATATTGCCACAATAGGACAATGAATGAATGAAATTATTTTAAAGAAAATAGCTCAGCTACAGATCAATCTCTGTTTGAGTTTACTCAATACTTGATTTATCATTTTTTTAAAGTAACTCTTTTGTTTATTATTATGAAGAGGAGGATTGATGTATTGACAGATATGCAACAGGGCGCACAACAGGTGTGGTGTTGGATTCAGGCGATGGTGTCACACACTCTGTGCCTATATATGAAGGTTTTGCTATGCCACATAGCATCATGAGAGTGGACATAGCCGGGAGAGATGTCACCAGGTACTTGCGCCTGCTGCTGAGAAAAGAAGGTCTTGACTTCCACACATCTGCAGAGTTTGAAGTAATCAAACAGCTGAAAGAGGTAAACAATATGTTAGTAAGTTTAAAAAGTGAGTTGCCTGTCCTTTTACGTTGCAGAACCAATACCTGCATTCTTTGGCTGTTTGTGTTTTTTTGCTTGGCAACTTGACATTCAGTAGCTTGCCATTGCATTCTAAAGGTCGGCTCTTAGTACCACTGTTAAAACCAACACAAGGCAGTCTGCTGTCAAATTATACACAGTTGGGACAGAACCCGGCACCTTGGAAATGCAAAGCACATTCGCAGACATAACATATTAGATTCTTTCAGATAAGATCTAAATATGATGTAGTTTATATCAACTTATCTTGCTATTGAGTAAACAGCCTATTTTACTAGTGGTGCATTGAACATATGTTCTAGACTCATATTTTTATAGACCAGTTGGCACTTGATGGATGGTGTAGTCAAAATCATGTTGGCTGCTGTTACTTCCCATGACATTACCTGATACCCATTTTAGGCTGGGTCAACCTGGGAGCTAAGGTCAATTTTGACAGAATCTGCATCGATGCTGATTTGAACCCAAGACCTTCGGGCTGGCTGCTGACCTTCTAGCCACTACCCTAATACAACTTCCATAAGGAGCAAAAGAAGAAATCATTACCAATAAGATATCTCACCCAGTGCCATCTGGACCACAAATATGGACGTAGTGCCACATACTCAGTTTGCCACATTGTTTGATCTCTGTCTTTTTTGTTTTTCAATATGTAAATCAATGTTTACTTCATCGTTATTGTTCCTAATAACTATAAAAATAAGTATAATTTTGCTTTCCTCGTATTAGACCAGCTGGCAGGAAATATACCTTCCTGAAAGAAAGATTTTAACAAGTGACTACAAGCCAGCAAGCAAGCATGCTAGTCACTGCTTTACCAGTAATTATATTATTAAACGTTAGAATACAATAATAGAAGAACACTGCCTTGACTAAATATTCATTTCCTCAAGAAAATACTGCATTTTGTTTATAATGTGAGCATAATCCATTATTTAGACCACTAAGATACAGAACACACATTTATGAACACTAATTCACATAATTTCAAGCAACCTGCAGTCCCAGATTTGGGTGTGTGTTACTTTGTTTGCCACTGTCTGTGTGTATCAATTTTTAGGGTCACGTGGCTATAGCCAACCATGATGTAGGCAGGTTAACATTGTTATTTTAATCCCTGACAAAATTCCACCACCTTACAGAAGATTCCTACCAGGATCTCCCAAATAAGAATCAAACATGCTAATGGCTGAGGCTGTCACCCTGAAGGTGTAATGACTCCCTGTGTGGCTTCCGGGTCTCTTATGGGAAGAACAGACCCACTGCCTCTCCCCAACAAGCATGTGGTGGTGGTTGAATAATTGGGAGTGACTTTTGAACCAACAAGGAACCAACAGTCTGCTTACAAAAAAGTCAGATCTGTAAAATGGATGTGCATGTGACACTCAGGTTCTGGAACAAGTCTAGTCCAGAATAGCCATCATCTCCATTGCAATGCTGCTGGTGGCCATAGAGAAGGCACCGCTGGCTTCTTGAACTCTTCTGCCTGAAGAGCAAGCTGTAAATGCCCATGCACTCTTATGTTCCCGTATAACAAACCCGTCTGTGAAGATCACCACATCTGTCTCATCTGACTTGTCCCAAATAAGCGGGCATACCTCGACATTGATAGCAGCTGGATTTTGCTCCCGACAACTCCTATCGAGCGTCACGACACAGGTGAATGTGAGATTGGGCACTTTAGACGCAGGTATCCATACCTCACCTGGATGGTTTTCTGTAAGGCTGCAAACCTGCATAATCTCATCCTCTGCCCTACCCAGCCATAGTTTGTCTCTTTTAAGCCTATTGCCCTTTTTCTTGAAGAGCATGTGGTGCAAAGGGTGCTTCAGATCTGAGCTGAACTTGAGGTTTGGGTTTGCCTATGTTTTCCCTGCGCATTGAAAATAAGACAGAAACCTACTTCCCACTGAATAGGTCTGTAAAGGTATGGATGCTCTGTTCTAATGTACTATCCACTTGATCCCAGAGAGACTTTAACACCTCCACTATGTTATAAAGTAGCTCACCGCTCTTAAGGCCCAAGAACTGAATCATATACATTTATTATAATTCGTCGGTTAGCTGGGGATTTTTTTAAAGCCTGGTCTCCTACTTATACTAAAATTGGTAGCACACAAATTTGTTTGGAAGTATAGGTGGCTGTCATAATTTTGACTGTATCACCTCTTGAGTATTGATCGATCTAAAGTATAGGATTAACCATGTACCAGATGTGTCTTATGACCTCTCTATGTTGCATGGTTTTTGTGGCTATTGTTTTTTTTCAACAGGAAGAGGTAGCCAACCCCAATCCCAACATTACCCTTAGTTGCCTCTTATGACATGCATGGCAGGGTGCAATGTTACTATTCTTTGCTTCCCAGGTGAAGTTACAAATATAGGGAGGACATGGAGTGAGCTTCACGCAAAGTATAGGACAACTTGGCATGGGTTAGTTGAAGGCCTGTGCTCCACTGGAATTGAAGGCAGAAGAAGAAGAAAGTAATATGTCTTATTAACAAGAGCGAATTCTTACTATTCTATCAGCTGTAATTGTTTCTTTGTTGACATGTAAATTGATAGCTAAAATAAGGTAATCTTTTTGCTTTACTTTATAACTAGCGAACGTGCTACTTGTCCATTAACCCACTGAGAGAAGAAAGTATGGAGACAGAGAAGCTGCAGTACATGTTACCAGATGGAAATGTTGTTGAGGTTAGTTATGTGAATATGCAGCTGTGTATACACTTAGTTAGTTCAGTTAATAACTTATACAGTGTTAGTTATAACTTTATTCATTCATTAAGACAGTCACTCCAAAGACTTACTGTATGGTATTCAGTATTTGAATAATTTCTTGGATGTCTTTAATATTTTATTTAATTTCTGTACAGTTTATGATTTGCATCATGTTTGAATGTAATAACAGGAGAAGTTATAATTTGTTTTGAGTGGAATTTGTTTTATTCATTTAACAAAAGATGTAACAGAACAAAAAATTACTCAGTTATTTAGAAATGAATTATATCATGATTACTAAAGAAGGTCTTTGAAGGCAACATGCTATCAAGTTAGAAAGATGCTATTCAAGTAATATCTTGCTCACATAGACCGTCATAGACCTTTTCCGGTACCTTTGACATAATTATTTAACAGAGCACTTGAAATGGAAACCGGATTAAAAACTGACTAGATATTCCTCAGGTGATGTTGACATGGATTCTTTAATGTCATTGAAACATCATGAAATGAAACTAAGCCGTCAGTTCTAGCTTGCTTGTTTAAAACGTAACTCTCTATCCTTTCTTACCGCCCATTCAACACTGATGTCCCAGTGTACATTGGTGGACAAACATGCACTTTAAAAAAACACACACACAAAAAACACCCCAAATAGTAATTAACCTCTAACTAAATATCTCACAGTCATACACCTGTTTATGATTCTGAACCAGGCCTGCTCAGGACTGTCACTGCAGACATACAGCATCAACTCTCAGAATGCTAGAATTTCCCCCATGTTATGTGTATTTCGCTTCTTTTATTTCAGTAAGTGATTAGGGATTAGAAAGGATTATCATCACAGCACTCTGGACAGACCCATAGGTGCTCCGATCTCCTCCTCAAAAGCTCCACAAGTGTAAAACAACTGATGGCGCCTGTTCTGTGTTGGTTAATGAAATGTCTGTCCCATTTTTTATTTCAGTAAGGTATTAATAAGACAAAAGTAATGGTGATTTCCAAGAAAAGAATTGTGCCTAAATGTATAATAAAGGTCAAATGCGTTATTTTAGGACAAGTACAGAAATCTAAGTATCTAGGCACATATATAACATCTGATGGAAGATGTATAACACAGATTAAGAATAGAATAGGACAGACCAAAACTGCATTTTACCAAATGAAGAACATTTTATGCAATAAATCCATCCCATTGGAGGTTAGGAAAAGATTTCTTGCTTGCTTGCTATATAGAGCCAGTTTAAACATACGGCTGTGAAGCCTGGACAATTATTAAACAAGCCGAACAATATCTTGAGGCAGGGAGAAGAGCAACCCAGATGTTTTGAAAGAGGTGAATGCTCGAAGACAACTTATCACAAACATCAGAAAGAGACAGTCATAATTTTTTGGTCATGTTATGAGAAGAGGGAAAATGGAACATGCCGTGACCACTTAAGGATGTGTGGAAAAAGAGACAGAGGAAGACAGCATGAAGATTGCAGTGAGGCATGAACACCCATGCCAGTCGGCAAGGCACTTGATGATGATGAAGTCCTATTTAATTTGTCTGTTCCATCCCCCCCCCCCCCCCCCCCCCCCCCCCCCCCAATAAATTTACACTGATTTTATAGTTGGGCTATAAGGAGATATTTAAAAATGTTAACCATGTAAAAATATAGAAAACAAAATTTTGAATAAATTTTATTATTATTTTAAATATGGATGCAAATAATACATTTGTTTCAAAATAACAATGAATTCCTGTCTGTTTTTCATCATGAAAATGTGTAAAAAAAATATTTTGGGTTTGTCTAACTGACTTGGTTGGAGAGTAAACCCCAAATACCTTATAATATTGACCCTTGCTTACAGATTGGTCCTGCGAGGTTCAGAGCACCGGAGCTTCTGTTCAGACCTGATTTGATTGGAGATGAGTGTGAAGGCATTCATGAAGTGTTGGCTTGCTCTATACAGAAGTCAGATTTAGATCTTAGGAAAACACTGTATTCTAATATTGTGCTGAGTGGCGGATCGACATTATTTAAAGGTATTGACATTTTTTTATTTGTTTTTGCTTAATTTGTCTTGTTATATTTATCTTGTGCGTTATTTAAACAAAAATTGTTTAGTGTCATTTGTTTTCATGGTGTGTTGTAAGTTCTTGGTATGAGTATAGAGGTGTGTTTCCTGTGAAACAAATCACACAATGAATATAAAATGGCAAACAGCTGGGTATGGAGAATGAGAAGCAACAATGAAATTCGTAATCTGTTTAAATCACCATTGATCACTGGCATCATAAGGGCTGATAGACTGAAATGGATGGGGCAAATAGAAAGAATGGCAAATAGCAGAGAGGCAAAAACTGTATACACAAGGGAGTTGAATGGCTATAGACCATGAGGCAGACAGAGAAGATTGAGGAGAGATAATATCGAAGCAGACCTACAAACACTTGAAGTCACCAGTTGTAAAGAGAGGACCAATAACAGAGATGAATGGCAGCAGAAAGGAACCTCTGGGGCTCAGAATGCTGAATAAGAAAAAATCATGTTCACCATGAGACATATTTTTACAGTAAATGAATAATTGTGGGAAAAATAATTTGCCATATGAGGTCAGTATTAATTGTTTGATGCTTAGACATCAGTTGTGAGCATGGTTTGGTGGAAACAATTAATTTATTTAGCCCCACACAGTTTTTATTTAAACACGCTCTCTCAAAGTTTATGTACTTTGGAATAACAGTTTTTGTTTGAATTTTGATCGAAGAAAATAGTGTGTCTCGGAGGCAAAATGAGTAGCAATAGGACAGAATGGATTAACATAACCGAAGAATGGGACATAAGAAGTTTAGAAATACTAAAATCTGGCCGAAACATCTGATCCTTCTTGTGTGTATGTTGTTCACCTTGCCCCTTCATTAAAGTTCTCAGTTAGGGTTTAGTGGATTAATTTCTGCAGCTATATACTTTAGGTGAGGAGAAGGGACTTATCAAACCTGCTGCATTCTAAAATAGTTATCATCCCTTTGCTAGCTACACTGGAACTTAAACAGTTAACAGCCTTATGTCTGGCCATCAACTATATAGTTTTTAGGACCAAGGTAGGCTTTCCATCTTGTACATGTCATGTTATTTGTATTATCACATGACTGAGTTTGTTGGATTGTTTGTATAGATTTAAATGTCTCTTTGCTTCAGGTTTCGGTGACCGACTTCTTGCTGAAGTGAAGAAATTGTCACCAAAAGATGTGAAACTCAGGGTAAGTTTAGCAAACTGTATTAGTGTTTTTGACAGTGTTATGCCTTATATAACTACAGTGGGGTTACACTGTATTTCTTATTCTTCACATTCACCGGCTGTAAACTCTGGTGAAAAGTTCTGCTTGTTTATCCACATCTGGACTTTAATCTTGTTCTAGAATTTGACTGTTGCATGCACTTCCGTTTTACAGATCTTGATTATTTGTATGCAGACCCTGCCTTTCAGGCAAATACACTCCAACGGTGAAGGAAACCGTTCATTAGTTGACATTTATGACATGCTTGTTAAGTGAGGCAGTGGGTCTAATTTCCCCCCCCCCCCCCATCCATGGGGCCCCAGAACTAACACTGTTTTTCTTTTTTGTTCCTGTTTATATTTTCCATCTGTGTTGTTGCCAAAGAAACCTGACACACACGAAAACTTGTCGCTGGTAGTGGAAAGAAACAGACAACATTCTTTGACCATATGCACTGACAGTAAATGAAAAGGGCCCTTTTCCACGCCTTCAGGCATATTGTACATATAGGGCTAGACCTATATTTTATAGATCAATGCGCACACTGGTCATGCCGGCCACACATTATTTTTCAGGACTATACCCGGTACCCACTCAAGATTGGGTCGACCTGAGAGCCAAGGTCATTTAAAAAAAAATCCCAAACCCAAATCCAGCGACCTTCGCAGGCTAGCATCTAGCCACTACACCGCAACGGTCGTCTGTATAATGACAGTAGTAAAATAGAATGAAATGTACTTTTTGAATTTGTTTGAATCAATGAAAAATTGAATGTAGAATGGCAGAGACAACGAATTACTAGCCAGATATGAAGTCATGAGTTGTCAGTACCTAAATAGCTGCACTAGCTAGAGAGCAGGGTTAATGGGAGGTCTTCTTCTATATTTATTTAAATATGTAATTGTGTTGTGCCCGTTTACAGCATGGCTGCAGTATCTGTGCCTTTTGGCCGATGCATCCAACTTCTGCAGGCATTTATTGTTAGCATTCTCAGATGGAAGGATATGATAATTAATGTCACTTGTCAATGCACTTTGATAGTGGTGATGAATTTTTGATAGAAAAATTTCTGGATATCAGTATTGTCCAGAGAAAAATTTTATGGATATCAGTATTGTCCAGTGCTACACTGCGTGGGTGATAAGAATAAGAATGTTGATTTATTTACATAAAATCTCAGTATTTCATGTGTGTATATGTGTATAAAAATGTGTGTGTGTGTGTGTGTGTGTATATATATATATATATATATATTTTTATATATATATATATATATATATATATATATATATATATATATATATATATATATATATATATATATAAAAATATAAATATATATATATATATATATATATATATATATATATATATATATATATATATATATATATATATATATATATATATATATTTGTGTGTTTGTGAATTTTGGTTGACCTAGTTGTACCAGGAGAAACAGCTAAACAGCTTTCACATGCTATGCCTGCAAAGAATACTTGGCATTAAATGACAAGACAAGATCACAAACAGAGGTTGTGGAAAGAGCAAGTATCATAACAATTTCCTCAATACTTAGTCTTGGAAGGCTCAGATGGCTAGAACACACTTGAAGGATAGAGGATGATAGAATCCATAAGGACATCCTCTGTGGTTGATTACAGATTGGTAGAAGATGTTGAAATCGGCCTCAACCAAGGTATAAAAATATGTACAAATAGGACATGAATGTTACAGGTACTGAGGTGGATTTGTGGGAACTGGTGCAAATAAGAAATGTAATAGGGATAAAGGTGATTTTTGTGTGTGTGCAGAAAAGTTAAGAATTGAGTGTCACAGGTCATTAATGCATTTGAATTTGTAAATTGTTTTTAATTTGTTTATTTGTTTTAAATGTATACAATATATAAAGTATTAAGTCGGAATAGTGAAATTTATTAGACCTAATCAGAAGTGTTGGTTTTGTCACTTCTAGGAGCAGCAGGGTTAAATCCCATTTTTTAATTGTGGAAAACTGTCTTTGATGCAAGCGAATCTTGCTAGTCACACGCACCATTACCACGGACTGTGATTCCTTATCTTCCTATAGAATATTATTACACTGTCATCTGGAAAGGTGCCAACAATATGTATATACACACACACACACACACACACACACACATACATACGTATATTCGTATCTCTTTTTAAATGTATTTATATCCTGTTGAACCGGGAAGGCTAACCCGGTCAACAAATGCCTGCAGAAGTTGTATGTGTTGGCCGAAAGAGGCAAATATCGCAGCCATGTTGTAAAAAAACACAACGCAATTTCATCATCGGATGAACGCAGAAGAAGAAGATATCCTGTTTTACCTTGTTCTCAGTAAAAGATTTTTAAAAAATTGTTAGGACCTGAGGTTATAGAGAAACATGTTATTCTTCCACAGATATCTGCACCACAGGAGAGATTGTATTCAACCTGGATTGGGTAAGTTATAATTATTACTGTCCCTGTTGTAACAAAAACAAAACCAGATTATTTTATTATAAAAACTCAACCAAGTATATATTGGATTTTTTAACTCTTTCAGTGCAAAAAGGTCCTTTGCAGATGCTTGATGACAACTCTTTAACTCATAGTACGCAATCCCCAGTAGTAAGCAAACACATTTTCAGAGTTCCCTGGCTGAATATGAAATATAAAAACAGACATACTATGTTGATTGGTAATCATGAATCATGGACAGTTGGACGATTAGTGAAAAATTGTTTAGAAGCAGTGGAGATGTGGTTTTTTAGAGGAATGTGAAAATACCCTGGGCAGATAAAAATAGTAATGAAGAGAAAGAAATTGACTCACAGAGAGAACTGATTGCCCACAACAGAAGGAGACAGTCTACATTCTTTGGTCATATCATGAGAAGTAGAAAACAAGTACATCATGACTGTGAGAAAACTGGAGAGGAAAAGAGGCAGAGAGAGACTGATAGAGAAGATGCTGGACAGATCATCTATGTCAGAACTGATTGAAACTACACAAGAGAGGAGGTTGTGGATGACTTGCCATACGGCAGGTACTGTAAGAAGAAGTCATGAATACAGCTCAGTCACACATGTTGCATTGCCTTGGACAAAAGAGTTAAATAGTGACCAGTGACCATTTAATACAGCTTAGTCACACATGTTGCATTGCCTTGGACATAAGAGTTGAATAGTGACCAGTGACCATTTAGAGTTGTCATGTGCATTATAAATTTGACAGCAAATAGGACATTTGTTTTAGTTGGAAGTTGTGGTAGTATATTAGTTAATATGCTTTGATTTCCAAAACAGTGTTCAGTATTCATTGATGGTAGGATACTTTTTCTTGTGGGGTAGACTCACTCATCCCTATACATGCCTTAAAAAGTAAAGACATTGAGGATTGGAACTAGCCACCCCAGCTCATTATGCCCTGGCCTAGAGTATGTTAATAGCTAACACTTTACATAAGTAAGGTTACTATGCAACGGATACCATCCCACTGTGGAGTTCCCGGAAATGAAAGAGCTAATAAACTAGCTAAGGAAGGTGGAAAAAAACAAAACCCTGATGTATCAGTCTGTTATCAACAGAAGACGAGAATAATCAAATCAATCAGAAAGCCACCAAAACTGGTACAAGACAATTATCATATTATGGACAGACCAGAGCAAGTCATTATGCTACGCCTTAGAACAGGACACAGTTGACTTTGCAGCCACATGTACACAGAGTTTAAGTTTGGCAAATCAGCCATGTGTACATGCGGATTGGCAGATAACAGATGACGTCCTCCAAGACCGTCCCAGATACAGCATATCAAGGCAAAACTTTTGGACAAGAGAAACACGGGTGCAAGCCAAACTTCACATGTCGCTGAGTGAATTACAAGACAGTGAGGTTCATACTAGAGACAACATTGCAGATATAGATAATCTATTTCAAGTGAACAAAAGAGGAAGAAGAACTTCACGCCCCAGTAGCAGTGACAACCTATAAGTCATTCATCCCCTTTCCAAGTACTAATTTTTATGAGGCATGATCCTCTTCTTTGCACTCACCAGCTGTAAACTCCGGTATAAAGTTCTGATTGTCCTCGTCTGGTCTTTAGTCTTGTTCCAGAGGTTGAGTTTTGTGTGCACATCTATTTTACAGATTTGACTGATTTGTTTGCAGACTGTTGGTTTCTCACCTCTCAGGCAGGAACACTCCCACTTTTTTGGAAACACCTCTAATAAGTCAACTTCAACCACATGCTTGTTTAGGGGAGAGTAGGTCTATCCCCACCCCCCTTTCCACAGGGAATGAGACATGGCCAACCCAGAAGTACATTGCATGTCTCAGAGGCAGTGTTCGAACCAAAAGCCACAAGGCAAAGGCACTACCACAGCACCACTTTAAGTGCAGTTTGAATACTATTGTATTTCTGTTGATTATTTTAGTGTTTGTAAGTTCATTAACTAACCACTTGTGAAATGAGAGGATTGAGAAAGGTCACAGACAAAACCAGAATTATTGAAACAATACACATTTAAAAATTCTTTGAAAAACAAAGACTGAAATGATTGTGCCACATAATGAGAATGAACCTAATGATGCCAGTGGCAAGAGCGTACAACTTGAAAATGGAAACATCAAAATGCAGAGGAAGACCTAGAAAAACAGGGATTGAAAAAGTATCTGACACATAAGACTTCACAGCAGAGAAAGCAAATGAGTGTGCCAATTTCAGCTGCTGAACATCTGTGAAACTGGGATGCCTGATAACACAAATCAAAAACTGACAAAAGAAAAAAGTAAGTTCATTTACATTTGTTCAAACTAAAACAATTGATTCTCTTTTTGTAGGGGTTCCATCCTTGCTTCACTAGACACCTTCAGAAAGATGTGGGTTTCCAAAAGAGAGTACCACGAGGAAGGAGTGAAGGCTATTCATAGGAAAACATTTTAGTCTGTACTTATGCTATAACACATTGAGTGCACATTTGAGGGAGAAATGTTATACCATACCTCACAAGAAATACAAGACACCAAGACACTGCAGAGGCAGTAACGCTTAGCATAAATGGTGAAACACACATCCTGAATCTCCTCTTTGATCACCATAAATTTTTTCCTCCCCTAGTGGAAGAAGTCTTGATAAGCTTTGTAAAAAAAAAAAAAAAAAATATTGTTTTTTTTCATTTGCCTCTTTTAACTTGTAAATTTGCTTGGCGTATGAATGATTCTTTTCATTCTTCTATTTACTTCTACAACTTAGAGTAATTCAACTGGTTTCAATTAAATTTTTAAGAATATTATCAAATAGTTGTAGACTTAATCAATTATCTGAGTCATACTGGTGTTTAAATGAGATAACTCTTTGTAGATTTTTCTAATTACGCTATTTTATTTGTCTGTCATGCTGCTAACTGATTTTAATTGGCTAAAATGTAATTGTTATGTATAATTATGCATGCATCAGACACTACTTAGTATAATGTGACATCATGCATCTTGTGTGAGGAAAGATCTTCCATTTGTGAAGAAAGTAACTATAACCTGCAAGTAAGGCCTGGCAGAGCACGTCCGTGCTGTCTTCAAAGTCAGAATAGGAGATATTATTAACCAACTCTGCATGAGAACAGTCATGAGAGGTACCTTTAGATGGCTGCATGATTTGACAGCACACATCAGAATGCCCAGTGCAATGCTGGCAATAATAATTTCAGAACACTATTACAAGATCCTGGTTGCACTGTATTTGCAGCACTTAGTGCACATAAACTTTCTTTCCATTTATGTTTTTACATTTCTATAGAATACAGACATGACAATACTTGGAGCTGTGGTAATATAACGGCTAGACGATCACATTCTGGCCCAATAGTGCCGGGTTCAGATCGGAATAAATGTGGATTTTCCTTTAAAAATTGACGTAGGCAATGTCCTGGAAAGTAAAGATGGCTGACATGATGTTAATCATTGAGTGCCAGTTGGTGCATAAAGATATGGATCTAGCACTATATCTGATGACTATATGTTTAAGGTGTGAAAAGGGTCCTTTAATTTCAAGCATGAGAGCAGACATCTACCAAATACAAGTTTTCTACATGCATGTCTGATAACTGCTGATTGAATATTTGATGCTGTGTGTTGTCTCAATTACACTTACTTCTGTTTACATACTATTTCTACTTAGAATTGTTAGAAAAGGTGCCCAGTAATACCTACAATAAAATTAACTGAAGTATTCTAAATTTATGTTTAAAAAAAAATAGTGCTCATTTAGCCCCTGAAATCAGATAATATGTAAGATCACTCTGTATTATGATTCAGATGTGTTGGGTGGAAACTTGCGGATATCACAGACGACAACACAACATGCCAGCCACCCTTGTAAGGGTGAATACAGAAGAAGAAGAATGACTCTTCTGTCTTTATCCGAAGACATAAATGTGTTGTGCTCGTTTACAACATGGCTGCGATATTTGCCCCTTTTGGTCAACACATCTGACTTCTGTAGGCATTTGTTTCCCAGGTTAGCCTTTCTGGAATTTGAGGAATGATTCATTGTTGCATGGCAATAGTCTTTCTGTGTGATTTTTGACATTTAAGATTGACTTCAGAAATGAGCAAGCTGTTACTTCAAAAACAACAACCTTTTATCAAAACAGCAAGAAAAAGTCTACTCTGAGGTCACAAATAGCCTTGGATGTAAAAATCTGCTAAAGTCTCCAGGATGTGCAGAAATCAATGCAGTTAATGCAGGAAACAAATCTGCATATATAAGCTGTGTAGAAGAAGAAACCTCAAAAGTGTTATTTTAGACAAATGTTAAAAAAAGACTAATTTGGACTGGTATAATGCCATCCTTAGAGATCTAAATGTATTTCTTCTTCCATTGCCGTGAAATGAGAGCTGACATAGTTTAGCAACTATATATTCGGCTGATGATCCGAAGGTCATGGTTTTAGGTCCTGACAGCGCCGAACATGTTTTAAAAAACAAATGACCTTGGCTCCCAGGTTGACCCAGCTTTAAATGGGTACCAGGTAAAGTGTTTGAAGGTAAAGGTAGCCAGCGTGATGTTGACCACACAAAAATGTAAGTCTAGCCTCATATACCCGATGCACCACTGGTGTATAAAACCTTTGTTTTACTTTGTTGAAATAAATTAATGGCAGCATTGCCAAAGTAAATGGGAGTTGTAACGTCACTGGAAAATATTACCAATTTTAAAAAAACTGAAATGATGATTTCTGATCTTATGTTTAGAGGTTATAAAAGGGTTATCATTGTGTATTTACTGTATTGCCAAGTCTCTTGCTGTTGTGCTTTTTTTGTATGAGTTGATATGTGAATTGAAATGACTAGCCTAGAGCTGTAGAACAATTAAGGACACGACAGCTGGTTTTTACAGAAAAATATTAAAGAAAGACCAGCAACATATACAGGATCTGCAGTTGATAATTTAGTAATAGGGAGAGAATAGATAACATGTAAAATTTATTAACAGCATCAGAGGCAAAGACAAGCTGTACTGTACACACATAAATCACATAGGTTCTATCAGAAACATGAAACTAATGAACGAATGGTCATGAATATAGACATAATACTTATAGTATAGACAGAGTAAGTTGAAAAATAATTGTTTGTACTTTCTGTTTTCCTTGCCCATGCAAGTTAACTCATTCAGCACAAAGCAAATATTACAGCACAGACCCACCCACACTGGACTACAGGTTACTTGATAACCATGTTGTGGTGCCCCAGTATAACTATGCTATGTGGCAATATGGTTGAACAGGGTTTCCCAAATGTGTACCTTTTTGATCCTCATCCTTGAGATTTTTAAATCCTACAGACTGTAATCATAAAGGGAAACACATTATTTAAAAAAAAATGTGTTTACATTAGATCCTTTTAAGAATTAGTTAAAGTCCACATTAGGGTTCCGGGGCACCATTTTGTGGGTAAAAGAATAGTCCCACTGCCTGTCATAAGATAATGACTAATTAAGGGTTTACTGAAATAGGAGGTATTGGGCTGAAAGATGCAGATAAAACAGCCTAGTTGTAAACCACAACATAGTGTGCCAACTACCCTTTTAATGGCAAACACAGGAGAAGTTAATCTGAGTAATAATTTGGGTGATGAGAGTAAATAACACCGTGGCTCTTTATAGCACAATTGTGGCTTTATATAGCACAGTATAACACTGTCATCTGGAAAGACGGAAAGGTTCCAACAACAAAATGGGACAGAATAGTTTAGGTAACAACTGCAGCTCCCTGTGTAGGTTCTAGGCTCCCATTGTGGGGAAAACAAGAATAGAAGAACCACTGCCTCCAAGAAAAGCATGTCTAAGAGTCAACTAATAGGGAGTTTCCTTCAAATACTGAGTGCATCTACCAGAGCGGCAAGAAACAATCAACTGTACACAAATAAGCCAGTAAAATGGATGTACACGCAAAACTCAGGCCCTGGCATGAAGCCAAAGTCCAAATGGGAGAACAACCAGGAATTTTTGCTAGAGTTTACAGCTGGTGAACAAAGAAGAAGACTAGTGCAGCAGAGTGGGTTAATGTCACAAAGGAATAATCACAAGGAGATCAGAAAAGTATGTCATATCAGTTGAAACCAACAACACATGGCAAGATGCTGAGCACTGAATGAGTTCTTCTTTATTTGCCTTCACCGGCTGTAAGCTGCGACAGAAAGTTCTAGTTGTTCGTCTACTTCTAGACTTCAGTCTTTTTCCAGAACTTGAATTTTGTGTGCATAACTGTATTTTAGATCTAGCTTACTTTATGCACACTGCTGGTTCCTTGCTGCTCAGGCAGGCATGCTCCAAATTCGGAGGGAAAATCCCTAACTAGTCGCCTTTAAAGACATACATGTTAGGGAGGCAGTGGATCTATTTCCCCAAAATAGGGCCCTGGAAACCATACAGGGATGAATGGGTTTAAAAGTTTCCACCATTGTTGTTATCTATGTAGTCCACAAGAAAAGAGGTGTTCTCTTGTGCATCATATCTTAAGAAAAGTGATAAAGGGCCATTTTTATGCCAGTGGCACCAAAATTGGGCGCATGATTCTTAACCTATTGGCACTTGATGGGCTATGTTATCAGCATTACACTGGCAGCCTTTACTTTCCATGATATTACATATACCTGGGTCCCATTTTAGGCTGGGTAAATCTGGGAGCCAAGGTCAGTTTTGAAAGAAAAATCTGCCATATTGCAGAAATGAACTTGAGACCTCAGGGGAGTGTCTAGCCACTATGCTTCGGTGGCTCCAGTATCGTAGCTGAAGACTACTTGTAAACAAAACCATTTTACTTTATTCTCTTAGCAGGAAACTATTCATTTGTTTTCTGTTCTGTGATTCTATGAATGGTGTAGTTGGACTAACCTGTATGTGGATGTTTCATTTATAAAAAATAATTTATTTTTAGATACTTTAGTCCTGGGAAGTTAAGTGGGCAACAAATGCCTGAAGAAGATGTCTTATCTAAAAGGGGCAAATGTCGCAAGTTATGCTGTGAATGGGCGCACCACAGTTAGGTTGAATGGAGAGGTGGAAGATATTTCAGTAGTTAATGTAGACCTAATACTCATCAGTATCACACAATTTTTAGACATTGACTTACTCTTTATTTGTATGTGTACATATTATTTGGTAATACTCTCGTCTGTAGTATAACTTGCCTAAGTAATTCATATGAGTATTGATTACAAAGTTTTCCTAATTTCCTTTGAGATGGTGCAGTTAAGGGGGAATGACAAATCAAACCCTCTCTCTTGCCCCCGTGTAAAGATTGCTGTTGACGTGCCATTAAGGCAGATTGGGTATGGGGTTTTAGCCATTTTCTCACTTTGGCACTTGAGAGATGTCAAGTTAAGCATGAACCTGGTTTCCTTTACTTTCTGTGATATGTCTGAAACATATTTTATCAAAATTGT